GATCTAAATTAAGTTCATAAATGAATAATTTATCACCGATCAAAGTGAACATTTTTGAACCCAAAACATTTAAACATTTTCATATTTCTATGACATATCGATTTGATATATAACCTAATATGTTACGATGATAATCATCTGAAAGATTGAATATCAGCTAGGATGGCATACACTTACTCTAGGAAGATAGTACGGGCGATTATACTGAAACCGACGTCGCTGTGTATTAATAGCCAGCAATTTTCAATACATTCCTTAGCCACTTTCCTTTGAAACCCGAAATCAACAAGATACACCCTTGTGGAGAAACAGTTGCCCTTCAGCATTGTGAACAAATCAGACAGGACTAGATACCAGTGACGTTCCACTACTGGAATGATACCGGTGAGGTTTGTGAATGAATGAAACATGTACCTATTTAATTACTACGATGGGAAGCATGATGAATAAACTCCTGACAAAGGAAAAAATCCCTTAATGTGTATTAAGGTCAAAACCGCCTGTTGAAGCGACTAAAGTATAGTTTTCTTCCATGAAACTACGTTCACAGGATTGCCATATTTTAAACAAATTGGGTCGACCTCATTGCTTTAATCGGTTGTAGTTATCTGACGTTCATTTAAACACCATATATAACTCGGTGAAATAAATTTATGTTCTTAAGGACTATCCTATCGAGTTAGTGAGTCAGCTTTCCAATAGTTTTCAGCCTCATTTAGTTGATTGCTTAGCTATGTAAGCAACACCTAACCTGGGGCTAAACCGATTCTCCGTTCAAAGACACCAGTACAATATGTACTGTTTTCTCAGCTTGACAAAGAACCATATCTTCTTTAGCAATGCTTTCCCTACTTTGCATAAGGAGCAGGGCTGTATATTGCTGATATCGACCTCGAGGTAGAAGCATCACCAATACCTGTTTCAGTGTAATCCCCTATTGCTTATCACAATGACACCACCGCCAGGCATCTTTTAATATTTAATGTATGCCATCCTAGCAATTTAAGCATTATGTTATAACATAATCAAAAACCTGTTCATATACTTTTGAATCACACATTTTCCTACTATGAAAACATTGGGATAATTTTTCCTGTTTTGGATTTGCTTGAACTGATTTATTACTTATTTCAACCACATGTACTCAATCACTTCCCTAAAATGCTACCAATATATCTCGAGACTACCGACAAGTTCAAGCATAACTAACCATAAGGGTTGTCGGCACATTTTCTTCCTCATATTTCGTAAAGAAACAAGAAGAGACTGAGAATGGAATTCATGCACCACGTATATTATGCGATAAAAGATCTCATAGCTACGAAACTTGTCGAAAATATTTGTAAATGACGACAGATAACAACTAATCGATGTTGTGATAAAACTTTAATACGTTTTCCTCATAAATGGATATCAAAAAGGGATCTGTTGCAACAATGGACTTTTTGTGCTGACAGATTGTATTGTGATCAAATATATAGCGCTATTATTATTATTTTCGAGCTTCGTGCAAAATCTGTAGTTATTCACTTTGATGTGTATTGACTCCATATCACATAACATAATCTTACCACTTGAGGCAATCTTAAAAATAACCTTTCCTTTATTTAGTTGTAAGATATTCGATCACAACAGAATATACAAATGTATGTACACATCGAAATATTCATAAGAAGGCAACAAAAGGAAATACAATACAAATAACAGGACATAAATAGTTCTCGAAATACGGAATGATAAACTAATCACCTACTATAGGTTGACTTCAGATACTTAGACAGTAGAAGCAAGGATCTGACTTTTAATGTTTGGTTTTACAGAATATAAATTTACACAAATCATAAGTTAGACAATTTTTATATGATAAAGAGAAGTACTATATATTCATTGCTATATTGAGTATATGAGTAGATTAAACATGAGGTTATTTTATTCACAAACTAGTCTTTTAAGATGAAATGCTACTTCATAAGGGTCTAATTTGGATAGGAAAGCAACAGAAAATAGTTTTATACAGTGAAAGAATTTTAACAATTAATCTATGAACTAAAAATGTATATTAAACTTATCTGCATGTAAAATTTCTTGGAAAGTTTACACAACATTCAATACAAATAACTAACCGTAGATTGTAAAAAAAGCTGGTTAGAATTATTAATAAAATAAATAACAAATCCATTACCCGGTCAACTTGTTTATGCATTGATGTTTTACTCGATAAAAGACCGGTAGCTAGTGATTCATTCTCATGTTCTAATCGAGAAACTTCTCGTCGTAATGATGCCAACTGACACTCCATAACATGTAGTGGAGATTCGGTCAATTTTTCTTGAGCTCTCTTTGTTATCCATTCTTTAGCATATTTTTGTAATTTGGCAGAAGTAACCTTTAAAAGAATGTAAGAGAATAAATTGGATGGAGAATTTTATCGAAACTTCTAAATGCACGGTTGAGTGACGAGTATAATTTGGTGATCAAAAGCGCAAGAGTTTCCGTAAACACGGTACTATCACTACGAAATAATATGGAACATATTAAAAACACTAAATCGTGAAGTATCTGTATAAAATACTGTATTTTATTTACAGTGAAAATGAATATTGTAACGTCCTCTACTTGATTAAGGTGGAATACGATAAACAACTAACGGCACTCGAAAGTGTAAAAACTCACAGTCGCAAATCAGAAGATGGGAGAAGCATTCGAGTAAGAACCAAAAATGTCCAGGAAAACATGGGTATTTATAGTTATTAGTATTGAATATAACATCATTATAATGTAGTCAATCCGCAAGGAGACAAGTCATGCTATCATTTAATCGTAGCACGCCACGTCGATATTCTAGAAGGCTCTGCCAGATCCTGATTGGATGGAATTTATTCAACTTCTTTGAAGCCATGTTTTTCGAAGCCGTCTCAACAAATATATATATATATATATATATATATAGCTATGTACAACATACGATAAGCTACAAGATAGATAATATCTGTGTCGAAATTGCAGGGGCAGATAATGATCGAAAATGAGAACGTAGAACAAAAGATGGAAATAAACGTCCAACGGATGTTATCATCTCTTATCTTAAATTCTGTTTTGATATTTGCTGTCCTACCGAAACCTTCTTTTTAAGTTTTGATCGACTTACATCTCCACAACTACAACGACTACGGAGGATAAAAAAAAGGATGTACAAGGAGAAAAACACTATTGAAGTTCGTAAATTAAATGGTCAAATAAGCCTAGAGATTAGACGTCTCAACTCTGTGTTTACTCAAAAACTCCCATCTTGTAAAAGCTCTCCAAGTATGTGGAAACTCTTTAAAGAAATTACAGGGGACAGGCAGACTAGAAGCGATAACCGGCTGAATGTTTGTGACTTAAATAAGTCCTTTATTCGTCAGTCATCTGACATCATGTCCCCTATATCCAAGGGTTTGAAGAATAATTGTGTCCCCAGTTTCACTGAAAATGATGTCCGGAAATGTCTCCAGTCTCTGAATTCATCCCAATGTTTAGGACCTGATGGTATTCCAAACCTCCTTTTTAAAAATGTGCTGATATTTTATGTTACCCATTAACGAATATCTTTAACAGATCCTTCTCAACTAATGTCTCATCGAAAATGTGGAGAAAGATAAAGATAATCCCTATGCCCAAGAAAGTATCTGGTGATAAAAATGTGACGTCAAGCCCCATAGCAATAACTTCACCTTTCCTCAAAATAATGGAAAAATTATTGATACTCCCGCTTTAACCTGCAATAAAAGAGCACAGTGATCCGTATCAGTTTGCTTACAAATGCAAAAGAAGCACATTAGATGCCGTTGCTGTTCCGCATCATAATATAGTGTTCGGGTTGTAAAAGGGTAAGAAGTATGTTAGATGCGCTTTCCTGGACTTTACCTCTGCTTTTAATTCTATTCCAAGACACCTCTTACTTTACAAGCTGATCAGCATCGATACTGACAGCTGGATAACCAACTGGCTACGTTCCTACTTTTCTGGAAGAAAACAGTACACTGTATTTGAAGGAAAGTGTTCAACATCTCTACTGTCTAATGTAGGTGTGCCACAAGGAGCTGTTCTTTCACCTCTGCCCTTCTCTTTCTTTCTTCATGATCTGCCATCTTCCACAGCAAACACTTTTGTAAAATATGCGGACGACCTCACTGTATGTATGCCGATTTCTACCTCCTTACATCCTATAGAAATGAATGAGTTTTTGTCTCGTATTGAAAGATGGTCTGTTGGTAATGGTCTCTTACTCAATCCATCTAAATGTCAAGCTGTTAACTTTAGCTTGAGACACGGACAAAACCTATACTCTATTTTGGGATCACATTATGCTTGTGCCATTGGAGACTCCTTAATAAACACAGTGTCGAAAGTCAAATACCTTGTTGTCATTTTTTCCTCTGATCTTTCTTGGTCTTCTCATGTTTTACTGTTATCGGAAAAAGTTTACAGTTTGACATACTACATAAAGAGGCTGCATGCTTTTGGGATTACTCGCCATTTACTCTTACAATTTGTAAATTCCTGCATATTACCTATTATTCTATATTATTCTCCATTATTCTTTCCTGGGTTTTTAAGAAAAGACTTTGCCATTTTGCGTAGAGTGCTGAAGGCGGTTTGCAAGGTATGTGGTGAATCTTTTGAAGTCATTGTTAATATGCTTGTGGATAGACATCTTGCAAACTCTTGGCAGGTGTTATCTTATCAGATACTAACCATCCGCTTCATTCATATCTTTTTCCTTGTATATCTTCTGGTAGAACGAGACGTAAATACATTAAATTCCATACACGCAAGCAAATCTATAAAAGTTCTGTAATACCTTACCTAGCAAATTTACTTTGTGACGAACAGGCTTTTAGAGTTGACCTAGTAAATAACCTGTAATCTTAAGCATGTGTCAAATTCGATAATTTGTATAAAGTCAGATTTTCTTAAACCTTTTTTTTTATTTCTATTCTGTTTTTTTGTTTGTTTTTGGTAAAAAAAACTTGTTGAAATAACTCGTGCTGAGAATTCTATATTGTACCAGATTATAATATTGAATAAAGCCATTAATAATAATAATAACAATTCCATCGAAGTTAGAAACGACTGTTATATATGCTAAAGAAATGCTATCACTAATAAGTAAGTCCAATGTCACAAGTTTATGTAAACGTTTGGAAATACTAAACAACAACAGATATACGTCAAGCATCATGTTCTCAAAAGTTAGTAAAATTGATACTGGTTACTGAACAGTAGTAAGTACTATAATGTACTAAACAAAAGATTACTAGATAAGAAGAGAATAAAGATGGGAAATACAAACGAATTTAACAATGAGTTGAAAGAGAATTTCTGATCATTACATTAATAAGGCGTATTAACTTAAATAATTATACAGAATCTGTCTTTTTTCACATAATTGATAAGACAAAGCTATTTTTTACTACCAAACTTAGAACTCCTGATATATGTTTCCATGGTAAAAGTGAAAATGCTACGCGAAATACCTGTATTAATTTGAAATAATGAGCAAAAAACTAGGTACTTCGGAGGAAATACATTTAAGTAAGTAAAAACAGAAGGAGTTTATCATTGTCATTTTGAACACCAAAGGTATCTGAGGTACTAAGTTTGAGTCCCGTGAAGGACATCACCTTCGATATCCAGGTCCACCCAGTTGGCCAGTCCCCAAAAAGACGGGATACAAGCCCTGGATTTCACTTCTAGACACATCCCATCTATCCTATACTTAAGGTATTATGAAATATGACAAATAGTTAGAAGTGTTGACAGGATCTATGATGAATACAGTAGATCAATTCAATCGTTTTTGTCAAAATACCAACCGATTAATGCTGGATAAACGATAAAATGTATGAAAATTAAAAAATATACAATTTTTATTCTAAGTCTCTAGTTATGTTGATAAAGGTTCAGTGAATCACGTACTATCATAATTTACTTGCCTGGACAAGTGTTACTTAATTTACATGCGCACATCAATTAGTGGAAATAATAATAACAATCATGATCGACTGGAATACATCGGACTACTGCTAATAAAACTGAAATAACCCTAAAGATTTATGGTTGTGTAATATATGAATATTCATTTGGAAATCACACACTAGAAGAAAACATTATTGTGGATTGTAAGGCTAGGATAATATTTGATTTACAAAAATAACACGTATGAAGCAAGAAACTATGAGCAATTTGACAATAATGTGATTGTCTTTTAATGGCTAGATGACATAATTAGCAATATTCATCCTCTTGAAAACAGAATTAGACAGGGAGCTAGATATCAATAGAAGATTAGTTTGTATTGGTTGAGATGTTCTTCATCACAGAGAAGCCTGCATATAAGTTGGTAAACACGGTGATGGAGAGTAAGTAGCTGATTACGTGAGAGAATACCGAGATTTATGAAACCAATGTAGAAGTGAAGCTTAAAAATTCAATATTTAGAATAATGATAATACTACAATAATCATTGAGACTTAAAAGGATTAAAGACTCATTGTTCACGTCAACACAAGGACTATGCAACTCCGTAGAAGTTTGTTTACATATTGATGACTTGTGAAAGATGACAAGTATTACTACATGACTGTTCCAATGTTGGTTTGTAATTGAAATTTAAAAAACCAAAACCACAAACTGGATTTCGCGTGTCTAAATATACGAGAAATAGCGTAAGTAATGTATGGTAATCCTGTGAGAATATTTTCATAAGAGTAGAGAAAATACAAACGTAAAGAAATGTAAGATGAATCTATTGAAGAAATAGGGGGAAAATATGAAATGTTAATAAAATAGTTCAATCTCGAAAATAGGTAAACTATATGAGAACCGTACGCGAATTAGATGAGGAATGATATGACGTAAATAAAAAATTGATATAACTAAACCATCTAAACGAAATATAACAATTGACGCTAATATTTTGATTAAAAGAATTAGCTACCAGAGTAAACTAGTTTACAAGAAAGTGACAAAGTGGAATGTAGACGTTTTAGAAAGTTAATTATGAATTGATATAGAAGAAACCTCACGCATCTAGTTGTTTGGTACAGCGAAGTTATGCGAAGAACTCTATGCCTCAGTTTCATCCCTATAGAAACACTAACAGATGGATAGATTAAGTCACAGCTGTGAAACTGTAATTGTACTACTAATGGGTAACCAGTATTTTATTCTATAATTTCACTTTTGTATTTCATCGGTTAACCGTAAACTAAATGTCTTCTTGGTGGCTGGTAGACTTGTTATTTCTCCGGACGTATTGAACTGGCCATTTTTATGCTCGTCTGTGCGAAGTTGATCGCTGTTGCTCGGTTTATCACATTGAATGTGAAACTTGACTTTAAGCTGGTTACCGTTTACTGCAGAACCATTTAATCACTTGTACACAAATGCTCCGAGAAACAAAAATGACCTTTGGAATTTAATCGACCTCAGATGGAATATTCCGTTGAATCTAACAGATTTTTACTAAATATTTTGTGATTACGGCAATAGGAAGCCATATATTATCATGTGAAGTTGTTAAACCTGATGGTAAAAATTCATTTCTTAATTAATTAGAAAATTTCAAGATAGAGAAGTAACTGTTGAACAAACAGAATGATAAAAACAAAGTGGACTGAATAAAGGAGATTAATAATAATAAGGATTCTTAATGCAAGCAGATCAACCTAAACTGTTTTAGCTTTTAGACACATTTATCATTTAAAACATAGAAGAACATAAAGTTCATTAATGGGATCTCTTTTCAAACTGTACTGTCGTATCCTGTGAGGAAATATGAATAATGAATAAACACGATGATGTAATAAAAAAATTATAATGCCAGATTGTGTAGTTTTAAATAATAATAGTAAAACGTTATGTTATTACTACACGATGTGTATAGATATAAATGGAATATGAGAATAGAAATGGTTCAAAAAAAGCGATACAAACGTGCGATAAATTTATGCTGATTCAAACAAGGTTCCAGTAAGAAATTAATCATCACACTTGTATAACAACACTGCACAACATAATTTGAAGTCAGAAAATGACAGGATGATGTGAATGGTATTTACTTATAAAAAAGTATTATATTACCATAAATAAAGCTCTAGAACTTCGAATTAATAGAAACCAATATGAAAACAATTGACCTTAGATACAAGTGAATGTGATCAAATAACAAATCGATACGGATAATGACACTGCCAATAAAATAAACAGTCAACGAAACATTTACTAATCACTTAAAATGTTTAAGATATTAAATATGGAAATTTTATACCATACAGCCGATAATAATTCGTCTTTACTTTAACACTAGGAGCAGATTTTCTTATTCAATCAACAGACAAACAGTTTTTGTTAATGTCTTTGAAATATCCCTTAATTCAGAGACTTTAAATAACCAGGATTCTAATGAATAAGATTAACTAGACATTTAGTTTGATGAACAATGAGTTTATTAGCCAATAATTCAATGACCATAGTTTACGTCAGGGACCTATACTGGCTGCAGGGAGAGTGGAAACAATATATTCTTTTGGTAGTTTCCTCCTAACACAATGGATTATAGAAAAAGACATGGTAAGTAGATCAAAAATGTATTTATATACTAGTGACAGATAAAAACAGCATTGGTTGAATCATAATTATTTGATCTTTCCAGTTTATAATGAGCTACTCTGTTGTGGAACAACTGAATGAGAAATGCTGTAGTTAGACATTAGGGAACTGGGTAAAGATGAGAAGTCGATTAATGAAGTCTTGAATCATCACCAACTGAGATAGTTGAGACATGTGTTATGTATGCCTAGTAAACCCCAGATCAACGTAGGATGATGGCCGCTGTAGAAACAGATTGGAAGAAAGCCAAAGGGGATCAAACCACGAAGTCACTGACCGGTGATCTGAGCCATGTTGGTGTATGTATGGCAACTTGAACCAATGCATATGTATGCCTGCTCCTACGTTGTAGCTGACTGACTGATGTAGACTACCTGGTATGGGCCTGTGCCGAAACCCCAATCAGAGTTGAAGTTGGATGATATAGGTAAGAATCAGTCACGATGACTTCAGTGACTCCGAAACACCATTGACATGACAACCAACAGTGATTTTTGATAACAGTCATCAAACAAAGTATATATATATATAATGCCGGTGATTTAAATGTTATCATAATCATAGATTAGAAGCTGATGAATATACAATTGACATCCTACAGTAGTAAACAATGTTATGTCTAGTCGCTATTAATAATCAAATTCTATTGATCAAGTTGTAACGTAATGATAAAATTAAGTCATTAGACCTCTCTAGTGTACCCTTTTGATGTTTCGAGGCAATCAACGGCCATCCTTGTGTTGTATCTCGACGAGAATAATGAATGGCAACTGTTGGGATTTATTTATGGACTTATGCTATACATATATTTTTATTGTACAATTGTTAAGTTACAAGACTGTGTATATTCATATTCCTCTTATTCTAAGCTTTATTTTGATTATGGACTATTATTATAGGATATATCATTCATAAGCTATGCCCAGTATATTAATTACAGTCTCTCATAATCATAGCCACTTTTGGCTAAACTCTTGTACAAATGTTATTTTCTATTTATGGTGTGATGTGGTCTGTTTGATTTGTATATAAACCCAGTATGTTTGAAATACGTGATTCACATCGCGGAGACTGAGATTTGTGTTCTGGACTTAACAAGCAGGGAAAAAGACCAATCGGGGCTCCAGGCTGTTCTTCCAGGTGTATGCGTTATTTGTTGGTCGTATAAATCTGCGTGTCTAAATTTGGCAATCGTATTCGCGATAATCGTACAAGCTAATGAAATAACACCTTGGATATAAACGTCGTGCTCGCTGATACTCATTAAGGTGTACCTGCAGACTCAGAGGATTTGAATGAGTACCAACAAGTAGGAAACCGAAGTTCGAAGTTAATTATCTTCAATTATTTAACATTATGAAATTGATTGTTATTATTATATCGAGCTATAACTGCACCTGTATCAATTAAGCAATAAACCAAAGGGTTCATTCAAATGAATGATGTTATGGAATCATTGTCGATGTTATCAATTTCTTTAAAATTGTTGAAAACATTTTGTTCCATTTAATTAAAAATTTTCTTCACATATTAAATATATCATATTATTAAACTAAATGATATATTTCCAAACTCACTTTAGCCGATAATGCAATACTAAGTAATTCTTGATTAGCATCATGGGCTAAATATTTTTTTGGCATCGCAACACGCAAATGCTTGAGAACACCTTCAAAGTCCAAACCGAGTAAATCACGTCTAGCCAATTGCAATAGTGCTAAAGATACTTTGAATATGAATATTAAACCCTATAATAAACATAGATGAAAGATCTTTTTCAAAAATACAAAACAACACATCATAAGAACATTTACTACTATGGTATAATAACACTGACTAATAGAGAAAAAGGGATGTAACTATCAATTTTTGTATATCCTTGACAAAATTAGTACAATTTAGAAGTAATTCAATGCTTTTTGAATTTATTCAAACAAAAAAACAATATAACTACTGTGTCATGCTTTATAACATTATTTGTTTAAAGTAATTAGTCCCCTTGATAAATTTGGATAGTGTAATAAGAAGACGAAGATTATTAGAACTAATATATTAGCGCAATACATTTCGAACAATCTGATCACACATACACTTATTAAGAACATTTACAAATAAAAACAAAAGTTCAACTAGACAAATGGAGGAGACAAAGATAATAAAGAAAAAATGAAGAACAATTTGAAACCTCATCACTCTGGATAATAAACTAACATTACCAGGGTAATTTTAAAGTGAGAACAAACTGTTTTTTCAATACATAAAGGAGGTTTGAATTTTCGTATGGCTAAGGCTTCAATAAACTTTGGTGTATGCTTTTAACACTTTTGTACAATCCCACAAAAGCCGTGTTAAGATCAATCTTATGACCTGTTTGAACTATATGTTTGGCAGTAGGGGTTAATGGATGTTTATCATATTATTTCTTTGGTCATCTTTATCTCCTCCACTTGTCTAGTTGATCTTTTGTTTTTGTTTGTAAATGTTCTTAATAAGTGTATGTGTGATCAAATTGTTCGAAATTTATTGCGCTAATATATCACATAATCCTAATAGTCTTCGTCTTTTTATAATACCATCCGAAATTATTTGATTAAATTTGTTCAAGAAAATAAGAAAGAAATTTTTTCAAATTATGTTAGTCGCACTACTAATTAACAGTTTTTCCAATCTTTACATTTGATGTATCAGTCAAAATAAGCCATGACTGACTATTAAAGGAAGACGGACAGAGTCATCTTGGAATCTAATTGTGATAAATATAATTTCTCTATCTCTTTGTAATATCTTCTTGTACTAGTTACTAACCGCTTTTAGATGGTCGGTAAAACTTTGAGCGATAAAGTTCAGTTAGTCAGTCAGCTACAACGTAGGACCAGGCACATATATGAATCGGTCACATGACCAAGTATCTAGAAACTAGCGTATGACAGACAAAACTCATTTCCCTCCGTTATAGCATACAAAAACGATGTTATAAATATGTAAAGAATTAAAGGTATTACATACTTTTTTCAAAAATAAAATTATTCATGGTATTTATACACTAAAAATAAATGATTATATATTTAAGTACAACATACCTCAGTCAGAAACAGATCAACAATATGAAAGACAACAGTTAATGGAAATTTAGCTGTGAACAATGTTAAAAACCATTGACTAGCGAACATGTGAGTTTCTAAGCCAAGATCACTAAAATGTTTTGCTACATCTGGTAATTGATCCTAATTAGAAAGAAAAATAATCACAACAACTGAGTTAATTGAAGTGAAAGTGTTTATTATTGTATCATTTCAACCAAAAACAAATCAACATTACAAAAACTGTTTGAATAATTTATTCACCGTCTTAACGTTCATCTAAAACTGTCTCTCTCTCTGTAGCTCCTAAAAAAAAGTAATACTTTCTACTCTAAAGACTTATGTTTCGTTATAATTAATTTATGATGATCGTTTGGCGATTGATTTCTCATCGTGGTATGATTACTTCAAGATGTTGCATGAATAATGCTAATACTGAATGAATAAAAAGTTATCAACATACGATTATATAAAATTATTTATATTTTTATCAACACAGCAACACTGTTCGCTATAAAATCTAAAATAAATGAACTACTATTAGATGAATATCTAAAAAATTATTTCAATTTTATGTAAATTATTTACCAAGTAAAGGTAATTTATCTACTCAGTTTCAAGACATTCACCAATTTATGTATGAGAGCTAGTGAAACTACTCAGTTGGCAAAACTAAGTTACGTACACAATGTGGTTCAAATGTGAAACCACTTAATTGAGAATTGATTGACCTAAACACAAAGTCACACACCTAAAATAATAAAAATTAGAAAATAAAAACAAAATTTTACAATGATAATCATATTTTGTTGAAATGACGAACCGATTAAAGTTACACAACCACTGAAAACCTGGGAGAACTAGATGGTCGTTTCGTCTAAGTACGTGAACACCCACGGTCCCACAAGAGGGATTCGAAACCAGGATCTTCAGTCTCACGAGTGAACGTTTAATCTATTCAAGGACGAAAAGCCCGTTCAGTGCTTCCAGATTTTCAACAATTGTTTGACTCTGATAAGTTTGTGATTACAAAGAAATTTAACAATGTTCACAACCTCAAAATGATAATCATATTTTACCTGAATAATACGATCCAATTGATATAATCGCATGTGTAATCCATCAAAATCATTTAAGAAAAATTCTCTAACTCCATAATTGTTATTCACTTGTACTAATAATGTGAAGGCTTGTTCTACTGGCATCTGAAACAAAAAGAACGGAATATTCAAAAATAATAATCATGAAAAATTAATCTACTTAAGAGAACAAAAATGAAAAAATTCAATCTATTTGAGTATCAACTATATGAATGAAATCATCTGTAAGTTGTATACCAAGATACACATTAAAACAATTAAGATATTGATACCACTTTGAAATAATAATAATATTATTACGATCTAATTACATATGTTTAGATAATTGTTTTAGCTTAAACACATGATTTTAATAGTAATAGATACTTTAAAGACGTACAATATTTTGGACACGGTATAAATGAAATCCAATATCACACTTATGAAATATATTTCTTGCTAATTTTTAGAAGCATTATAAGACCATTTATTCGTAGTATGGTGGTTCAGCCTCCAAAATTTATAATGAAAGAATTTTAGAGGTTGTGAGATTAGTAGGTGTATGGCTGATTGATTGGAATACACAACGATACTATATAGTGAAGTGATAGTTCCTCATTAGACCGAGTTATTGACATGAGCCGCCAATTGAACATGCATCACAAGAGAAAGTCAGATACCCAGCAGAAGATATTTCTTTCCAATAAAAATAACATGCTCTATATAACACATTGAGACAAAAACATACGATTTTGTTGGTCACTCATCATACAATGAGTTAAGGCATGGCTATCAAGCTCAATTATTGCCTCATCGCATCACAAAGATTACTAAATTCGATTATCAAGTGTGAGTTGATGTACTCGGTTTGAAGCTATACTATGTGTGACTGCTAGTGATATCACCCAGTTGACCGAACCGAAGTAACTAGAATAGAGTTAAAACTTGAAATCTATTGGTTGTAGGTTAAGTATTTTAATCGAATTTTTCGAATTATTGCTGTTACCATATTTTACCAACAAATAAATGGTAAAATCTAAAGGATTAAATATTCTTTCTTGCCTATGTGAAATGTCATTTTTCTACACAAACTAGTATTTAGAGTTACATTTTATTAATGAGTCATTAAAAGTAAACTTTAATGTGAATTTGACAGTGAAGACTTAGTACTAAAAGCACCTTGCTAATGCTATTGGATGTCAAGACGATGAATCTGTTTGGATGTAAGTAGCTAGAATAATTTATTACATAGTCGCCATGATAATTTAAAGAAATCACAAACACTATTTTATGAGTGACCAAAGAAAACTTACATGAAGTAATAATACAGCGGCAAAAAATGTTAAACCTTGACAATAACCAACTTCTTCATCGTACAAAGCATAAGCACGACTAACAAGAAAAAGGCTTTCCTGTCCAATTTTATCACGAAAGAAACTATGAGCTGGAAATGTACGTGCTAAATCACGACGTATAACTTCATCATGTTTACATGGCTACAAGGAAAAAAACAATATTCACTTGGGAAAGGTGATTATATAAAGTATTAATGTGAACCTTGTACTAAGATAAACAGAATATTTAGAGTGTTGGCATTCAGGTCGATCAGCGTTCAATAAACACATCCAAATGAATCCAATCCAATCAATCGGATAAATCGTGGACAAATATAGGACCAAGAATCAAATCGAAAGGAAGATACAATCAAAATAACGAGACAAATAATTACTGGCTAGAGGTCAGCAATAACTAGTCAAGATCGAGGTAGACAGGACAAACTGTGAATGTGATGTGGAGAAATTCAAATACTCTAATTTTACCTGAAGTTTGCCCTGATATTGTTCAGAAGAACAATGAAAGCTACACGACCGAACCACCTAGCTTAGAGAACGAAAATCCATCAAAATCTTAGAGGTTACAGATGAAAAAGTGGTTTAAAAAAAATTAGTTATTAGAGGAAGGAGAAAAATACGCAGCTCAGTAATTCGATTATATTTGTTAGCTAAAGCAATCATTTGCGTGGTAGTGAGAAATCAGTGATTCTGGGATAGTTCTTATTCTTACTGTTTGTTTGTGATTATTGTTATGGTTCAAGTGTGATTAGTAATTTGTATCCGTTAATATAAACAATACAGCTAATGAAACTATGCCACTGTTCAGACGGAAACATAAGGAGCACGGTTTGATTCTGTAAGATAGTGGATGGCAATTATAGGCTCGACACTAGACAAGTTAAAGTATTCTCTTGTTGACGGAAAAAACACAACAGAAAAGATAATGAAACACAATACTACTAGAGCAACTTACTTTAGTAATAAGAATTCGATAAGCATCCATCAGTCCACTTTCATCAACAGGACAACCGGATAATAACTGCCAAACTTCAGCTCGTAAGGCATCCGGAATGCCACGACTAACTAGCCTTCTAATTCGTTGACAAAATGCAGAACCGAAATGAGAAATATGAGGACCAGAACAACCACTATGCAATAATTCAATTCTCAAAGAATTTGTAGATACGCCGAGACCATTAGCTTGACTTTGTCTGACTTTGTGATGCCATTCAGTAACTAAATGACCCCATTCAAGAAGTAGCTGATCATCCGTAACTTCTCTAGATACAATTCCATTACCGCTCATCAATGGTTCATTGTCACTATCTGAAGTGAAATTCAGTTTATAGGAGAAAATCAAATTTGTTTTGCAGGTTTTGCAAAAGTTTTGTAATCTTTACGAATAAGTTAATAAATGAGGAGAAAAATAATTGAGCTTGAGAATTGTACCATGATACTACTTGGTCAGTTCATTCGATAAATAGTGAATAGTAATGAATATACTAGTATTTATACTGGATCTACAGTTCTTTATTTTGATATATTTTATCATTTAGTTTTTATGGTATGTTGGGGAGCCAACAGAAAACTGTGAATATAAGCAAAAAGCAGATTTCAATATTGTATGTGTTCTCAAACATAAGTAATGATAATCAAGTATATCTGTGTATATAGAATTAACTGGAAAGAATGGTATTGAAAATAACATAGATTATACAAGTGGTGTTGTAGATCATGTAGGTTCTTCATATATCGTGTCTATTCCGATAATGACAATCCACTGGACCTTTTTTGTCAAGTTTGACAAATAATTACGAAAATAATAAACACTGAAGAATCAACGGACAAATTTTAATTTGCAACTTTTCTGACTACTCAACGAAAGCAAACAACCACATTAATTTGAAAGTAACTATCTTACAGAACGAGAGGTATGAATTCATGAAGAAACTGTGCTCTTCAACAATCCTCCAATCTTAGCATTTCTTTCACACTGAGGTCATTGGTAAAATTAACAACTGTTACTACTGAACTAATTAGCATACTGTCGTCACCGTAGGATTTAATGAGATTAAAACTATAAACACGGATCAATAATCAAGGTGCTGTAACTCAGGTAAGAACTCGAAAGTAAGTTATTGGGAATACAGTTTTAGGCTCCAAGAGAATACCTAAACGTGTTCCAGTTGCGATGACTTGGAGAGTATGTGTCAATGTACGATTTATACATGAAACAAATACGTATCACACAAGATATGCTTATACTTTATTAGAAAAGCAGTGATCCGTTTCATACTTTGTTGATAAACTCATGTCTAAAGAACAGCGTCTAGTTAGTCAGTTTAATCAAGATAAAAAGCTTTCTTTTTCAGCACATTTCTTATCATTTCATAAATGAGATGAATGTACATCAATAATTTAAGTGTTAATTTATTGTATCAAAATAAAATATAAGTATTGAACTGTAACATTTGCTGAAAACTAGTTAGAAGAATAAAAATTCCCATGGAAATCGTATTATAATTTGAAAAAAGTATAGGACGTGGAAACGAGCTTAAATATAATATTAAAGTAAACGATGAATAACACGAAAGAGCATAATAAAGTAAACAAGTATAAGATGATACGATGTCCATCGTTAAAAATAAAAAAAATTTTTATACTAATATGACTGATTTTTAATAAATCACAATAGATTTCGAAATAAGTTATCAAATTTCATATTTGCCTGCATGACTTGAACCTATAGTCAGTGGTTACCATAAAGGGGTGATAGATTTGAGTAGATTTAAGAGAAAGTTCATCTCACTTAATCTTATCCACATTAAAATGAAACATTGAAATAACAAATCAACCAACATAAATGATACATACTCCATTTATCTCATTTGATGAAGGTATTCAAGTTTACCAATAAATCTACACATTCCATATAAAGATTACCACCCTTACTTCACTACATGACAATAAATCAAAGACATCAGTGATTAGCTACCTGTAATCGCTTTATTTTATATCGCTTAAGAAGTCACATCTCAAAAACATCTAGTAAATGACATCAAAGTATAATTTTGGTAAATTCATAATGGCATGAAAACATAACACACATAGCAGTTGGCACTTTAACCCTATCTAGTAATTTCCCTTTCACACACACCCTACGAAAATATATCACATTTCAAGTAAATTCTCGAAGCTAATCTCTTGTAATTTAATTATCAAAGAAAATTTGATTGACCACATGGTCTGCGTAAACTGAGTACAGAAAAAAGAATTAGTGGTTTTAGTTTACACACCATTTAATAAATGGTACTTCACTGATTAATAGTTAATTTAAAACAATAAAATGATCGACAGGAAAATATACCGGATGCAAAGAACTAATGAATGTTTTTCAGTAGAAAAAGACTATCCCATTGCTGATGATGAGTTGCTTGAAGCAACCGAAAAAAGGACACTAAAAACTGGTAAATTTACTCAGATTTTCGTTTATATATTAGAAAATTGCAAACCTGGTAGACATTGAAGGAATAGCAAACGTGTAATATATTATTTTTCATAAAGGTAATCTTAATCGACAGTAAGAAATTGATCTTCTAAACGGATTACAACTAAAAATATAAAATGTTGATCTCTGACACAAGAAAAATAATGATTGTTGTCGATTCCATAATAATTCAAACTAGGACACTATTGTGCAGTTAGGTAGAAGGACAGATTTCTAATTACAATCATTACTACAAGACCCAAATTTTCAGGGCGTTTTTTTTCAAAATGAATTTAAAGACCTGACGATCAAGAGATCGAAACACAAGAAACCTTGAACTAATTGATTTCTGATTAGTAATTGATTTAATGTTTACTTTTTATTGCTGGTTGAATTATATAGATCGTATTAACAATTTGAATTGTAGACTACGTGATTCAAACAGAATTTCCTGCAGTATATGATACAGTAGAAAAGTGTATCTGAAATGTTGAAGAGAGTGATGGTTTCTCAGAGACTTAGAGTAGCATCACTTAATATCTCAGATGGGCTTATGTAGCTCAATGAAAGTTACTGACGATTTTTACCAAAACTAAGCGGTCATAAGAGAGACAAGCCTTAAAATGTACAGTTAACAAACCATGTATAACACTGTGATCGTGTATCACGTAAATTTCATACATTAGCTAATAGTACAACATTGATAACCATGAAAAAACTACAGTTGAAAATATTGACCAAGTAAAATGGAATATTAAGGTCACTACTATTGTTATTAGATCTAATCCAGGTGAAATATGCAAATCATATGCATTATACTAATCTTAGTAGATGGAAGATTAATACAAACAATAAGAAGTATAGTAATAAATAATATTGTTATAATGAATATTAAGTTAATTCATTATTGGTCAGTTAGTGGTTAAAAATTACCTTCAGTTTGATTAACAACTGATGGAACAATTGATTGATTATTTTCTGGATGAAATGCAGTAACATTGAGAATTTTCTGTATTTTACCAGCGTATAAATTTCCATTTTCATCTATACTCTAAAATGGTTGTTTGTTTTTAAAAATGATTATTCAAAATTTAAGAGTAATAAAACAAATATTAACTAGAATAGTGAATAGATAAGTTGTAAATTGAGATATTTAAAAGTAACTTATCATTAGACGTAAGAGTTAGTGAAACTAATTCGGTCAACGATACTGAAGTAGTCAATGTCAAGTTAGAACATATCATTAAGTTAGTTAAAACAGCATCAAGTGTTAAAATTTTTTATACTTCATCAACCGGTATCGGCTTCTCGAAGTGAAAGCTATCTCTCAATAAATATTAGTAATACTGAGGTCAACATAAATGAATGCATTAAAAATGAGGTTAGAAATATTTTACTGAATAGCCATACATTGAGATTTGTTGATGTATGCTTTTTTCAGAGTGTATAAGAGCTAACTAAAATGAACGAATTCAAAGTAGTAGAAGGTGATTGTTCTCAAAAAATTTAATCTAAGCTTTGGAATCGCTTAGCTAAATACACTAGTGACCTTGATTCACCATATACTTTGACTTTTTTCAAAGTTATGACAAGATTTCAGGGGTACATGGGAATTACGATCCCTTATGGCTCTATTTCCATTTTTTAACATATACAACTTGAAGTGAAATTTAAAGAGAAGTAAGAAACTTAATATTTTAAAGACAAATAAACACTTTAGTAACAATACAATAAGTCTATGATCTTCAGGTATCATGTTTGGAAATTTCGGGGTATTTTGCAAATATTTAGCTTAACAATCACAGAGTAGATGACTATGAAGTGAGAACAAGCATTTAAGGGTATGCACTTAGTAATACTTTTCTTCTGGTGATTGACTGGATTATGAAGACCTCGACATCTGAGGGGAAGCACGGGATACAATGGATAGTTCGGAACCAATCAGAAGATTCGGACTTCACAGATGACCTGACTCTTCTGTCCCATACACTCGAACAAATGCAGATGAAAACAACTAGTGTAGCAACAGCCTCTGCATCAATAGGCTTCAACATACACAAAGGAAAAAGCAAGATTCTCAAATACAACACGGAGAACGCCAAGCCAATCACACTTGATGGTGAAACGTTGGAAAATGTGGAAGCATTCACGTACCTGGCAAGCATCATTAATGAACAAGGAGGGTCTGATGCAGATGTAAAGGCGAGAATTGGCAAAGCAAGAACCGCACTCCTATAATTGAAGAACATTTGGGACTCAAAACAGCTGTCAACCGATTTCAAAGTGAGAATTTTCAATACGAACGTCAAGACAGTCCTACTGTACGGAGCTGAAACTTCGAGAACTACCACGACCATCATCAAGAAGGTAAAAGTATTTATAAACAGTTGTCTACGTAAAATACTCAACATTCACTGGCCGGATACTATCAGCAACAGTCTTTTATGGGAGAGGAAATCGCAAAACTGAATCACGAGGCAACCTTAACTTGGAATCCGGAAGGGAAGCGGAAAAGAGGAAGGCCAAAGAACACATTACGCCGGGAAATAGAAAATATGAAAAGGATTGCCGGGAACAGGGCTGGATAGAGAATGCTGGTGGGAGGCCTATGCTCCTCCATGAAGGGTAACAGGCGGAAGTAAGTACTTAGTAATACTACTATCTGATAAAACACAGTAGGTTAAACAGCTCTGGAGGGGAAGTAAGATTGCCAGAACCCACTTGGAAAAAGTCCTAATTTCATAATTTTATTCTGAAAATTTGAATTTTAGGTTTTCGCGACAAGAGAACGCCTAGTTGACCTACAACTTACATTTCCCACTCCGAATTCCTTGACTGCCATTAGTTGACGGAATTTTTTAGTACGCTATCTTGTAGTTATCCTATGGGCGTTTCTATCATTGTACAAATAAGCTTGATTTGTGTGCTTGGTGACCTCGTATTTTGTGGGTGCTTGTAGAATACATTCTCTAAGTCTCATCAAGACTTCTTGATCTAGTTAGCAGGGCCGTGGACAACAGATTAGAATTAGCCTATCGTGTTACTATGTCATTGACCTTTGTTACGTTTACCGAGTAAGGTGAACTTGTAATAGCATCAAGCATATCAAGATTATGTAAGATATGATAAAGAGGCGAACTCATTTACATACATAATTTTCTTAAAACGAGTTTATAAAAACCTTAGTTTTTACAATGATTTCCGAAATTCGAGTAAACACTACTGCTAAAACTACCATGAAAAATTATACAGACATGTCATTTAAAAATTCAGTCTTTCAAATAGAAAACGTCACATAAACGCCAGTTTACTTTTTGATGACAAGCTTCCTTTGCCTAAACCTGAAAGTGAGTTCTGTTTTTTTCGTGGAATCAATCAGAAAATCCATTTGCGCAATATTCAGAACCAAAATTCGGTGCCCGTAGAGTTTAAAACAAATGATGAAATAATAATCGTGCTGGTGTTGATGATGGAAATGAAGAATATCTTAGAAATCTAACCATATGATTGTAAGTTAGAAATGTATTTTGGGGTGAAGGATAAGATTTGAATTTGAGCGAGTGAACTGTATTTTGATATTTTGAGTAGTTGGTCAGAAATTTAGTAACTAAAACATTGAAAGACACCAATAAAATGTCCAATACTCATTTGTCTAACTGACACTACTTTAAATAACGCAGTGTAATCAGTTATCAATAAGTGAGTCCATTTTCCTTGAATTTTCAACTACCTACATTGGGTTTTTCGTTTACACTGTAATATATGACAAATATGTTGATACGATAAAACAAAGACTCAAATCAAATACGAGAACATTTGTAAATATCAACGGCATATAATAAATAGTACAAAATACAAACCTCAGTTAATTTAATAGTATAATCTTCTATAACAGGTTTTCTATCTAAAGAGAGCCAAAATATTTCATCTGCCTTATAAACACGCGCTCGACAGATTCGTCGCAGAGCTAATGGTTCTTCAAGTTTATGGATAAGTAGGCGTACAACAACTGTGAAGAATATACATTCATCTAAAGAAAAAACATATGACAGAAGAAAAAAGTGTTAAAATTTTGGCTTCATTTTAACAAAAACATTCAGGTCAATTTATGACATAAGGATAATTTAAACATAACCTAATGGACATATTTATGTTTTCTCCTCTGACATTGTCTGTTCATTAAAACGGAAAGTATATAATTTACGTAAAAGCACGTAGTCTTTTATTTACGTAACGAAACACTGTACAAAAAGTTTGGTTTAATAAAGTAGTTGATAATTTTCTTGATAACAACTATTTCTTAAAATGACACGGTATTTCAGATGAGGGAAATAAAGTACTCGACTTTCAGCCACTGAATTTGATTTAGTTAGAGAAACTAATCAGTATTATCAGGCCACATATAAAATGTTCGCCATTGTTATAACTTGTGCCGCCAGGATGCCCTGTTAATGTATAACGTGATAATACCGCCAATTAGAGAACAGTAATTTATCGATCGGACCAATGACACACGAAACTCGTGCGAGCACTCTAGAGCACTTATCGGTCCTGCTTTCATATTAATTTTCACTGATAGCATTTTACCATGGACAGAAACGGTGGAAAAATGATAATGAACGTTTTATAATGTTAAGTCTCAAAAACAAATTTATAAGCAAGTGCTGTTCAACGTTGGAATTTAACTGAGACTGACTTAAAAAGAAACTGGTATATGCGCTCATTAGGAAAACCACGGAAAAACATGCATTGTCAAAATAAATAGTCAATGCAAATATAACTATATAAACTTCATAATTGACATAATAAATACACAAATCAACAAATGAAGAACTAACCACGAGTTCCAATGACATCGAACATAGAGAACTGATTATGATTTGATGGCCAAGTAACCCAGGTAGAAAATGAAGTACCGTTTAGAGAGTTAGATGATGCTTCTCCTCGGGTGACGTTTTCTTCGCCTCCCAAATAGGTTAGTTCACTATCCGATAAATAACGACCATAACCCAAACATACATCCAAAATTCTAGATTATATAAAAAAGATTTCAAGTATGCCATATACATACATTGTAAATCATGAGAGAAAATATCTACATTTAAAAATTGATCATTATGGAATTAATATTTCCAGAATTTAATGGTGGAATGAAATAGCACAGTCTTAATGTTAACGTGTAATATGTAAATTTTAAACTAGCTTTTTACGATCACAATATCTGCATAAATATATCATAAAAGATATATCTACAGTAGTCTGTCGAAATCATATTGCTTAAATAGATAGCGGTATTGAGGCTTAGAATTTTTCAAAATACGTTTTATTATTGTGATACCGGTTTGTAAGCACCGAACAAGTCATGAGCTATGATTCTAAAACTTCAAGATTTTAAAATATGATTATAATCTGACAATTTTTAAAAAGCATACTAAAATGGCCATCGTGTTTGTAGACGCGGAAAAGGAACTAAAGACTAAAACATCTCAGTATACACAAGATTACACAAAATCCACTTACTATTGTGGTCGATAAACATCATAACAAAATTATTTCCCCAGAACATCCTAATAGTAATAATAATAATAAATAGTAACCAGCTGCAATAGTTAAGTCGACATTTTATAACGAAAATCTCGAGACGTAAATAAATGAAACAAGTTTTTATGAGTGCCTACGTCCTATATAACAATCTGATTAGTAACTTCGTCGTGGCAACTTTGAATTATTTACGATGAATCCGAATGGTTGATAAATAAGGATTTTAAAAAAAGAAATACAGTGTTTCAGCTTTTCTAAATACCAAGTAAAATAACTGAACTAACAGATCACAAACAAATCCAAAATAAGATTTGCTAGGCATCTACAAAGTTTCATCTTCGGAAAAACTACCTCATGTATTTATGATTACTAACCATTATCGAATCACGTAATAAGTTGAATATGATCAACAACAAAATCTACTAACCCATTTATCGGTAGATAAACACGACCGTCTAATTGACTGACACCAACAAATAGTCGTTTAGCTGTGCTCTTTCTCATTTTAAATAATTCTGATTTTTCTTTTGGTACAGGAGTAAAGTTAACACTCGATCCGTCATCTTCTCTTATATCCAAATGTAAACGTAAACTAGATCATAATTATTAAGGATAAAAATTAAATACAAGGGTAGATAACATGAGAAATAATCTTTTTCGATTCAAACAACAAATAAATTCTTGAAGTTTACAGAAAACAGGTATTAGTGATGTAGGTATTGCCAACTTCATCAAAGAGAACCAGTTTGAAATCAAAAATTAGACTTACAATGAGAACTAAGCAGTGTTTGATCAATGTACTGGGTTTAATACTGCAGTAATAGTCCGGTTTCATTCTAAATGGCTTACTTATAACATGTGTTTAGCTGTGGAGCAGGGTTATATGACTTGGAAATATTAAGAAGATGGTAATACGTTCCTACGATAGATTGTAGGTGGGTTTCATTGACAAGTCCTTAAAAGCACGAGACCCAACTCGAGTCTTGATCAGAAAAAAATCGGCGATATAACACTTAGGTCTTTTAAAATAGGAAGATCAAAATAATATTTAAATTAGCTTAACTAGAAACTATAAGATTCCAGTATAAGGAGAACTGTAATATAAATGCGTAACGAACTACATAACTTTATCTGCAGGTGTCTTTTGATTCGCAAATTTAATCGACTAGATGAGCCTTCAGATACCCGTAAAAGAAACGAAGATTATTATCAATATCCAGAAACAGAGAAATGAACCTGAAAAACACGAGCGAGCAAGGAATTAATATGTAGGCTTAAGAGGTAGATGATAATAAAGTTTAAGTATATTTGTGACTATGAATAGTTATTAGAACCTTATATTCAATAATAGAAACAGGTAAATATATTTGCTCTCATAGGTTTCGCTTGATTTTCTCTCTCATTGACGAGAACCTATAAGAATATATATATATATATATATATATATATATATATCACGATAGATAACTTAATATGCAAGTGAATCTATGTTAGTTAGTGATCTGTTCGCAAATCTATGCCCGAAAATATTACTTATTTAGAAGAAAGGACACAATATTCTGCCACTACTAAACTCTGATAACACTACTCATTTATTATGGTATGCCTCCAGACTTTAGTTTTAAAATACTCCCTAGTATATTTCATAGGAAAAAAAGGAAAAACGAAGATGTTTTTTTTCGAATATTTTCTTTGATGTCAGGATATGTCGTATGGTAAAGTGTAAAACAATACGCAGCGCTAGCTTGAGTATTAAAATTTAATTAACACACACTAACTAAATACAAACAAATAACCATGCAAAAAAGAAAGGTTTATTGTTTTGGAATATTATAAGCATGTAACATAAATATGATTTCGAGTGATTTAATGTTTGACGCTATTGAAGGATCCATAAGAGGTACAGAAATGACGCACTAAATTGTTAGAAGATAAATTACCGATTAAAGCTGGGGAGACTACAGCCTGTATCAGTGTTTTACGGCTTCTTGTTCTCTTAAATTCGTTTCAACAGACGAAGTACGATTATGAATCAGCTCCTCTCAAAGACAGAACGATCTTTTGGTCAGGCAGTTTAGACGTGTTTCGACTGGATATCTAACAAGACGTAAAATCCCAATGATTTACATTTCACATGGGAAATAAACAAAGCAACTGAATTCAGGTATATTAATCGATCGGTTATTCAAAACCAGAATTCCAATTAATATGAAACGAAGTCCTGAGATTATTAAGTACCCAGTAAAATAGCTCCTATTTCTTTCCCACAAGATTATAATATTCTTGATATCATATAGGTCTTTCAGCATTATAAGGATAAAAATGACTTACGTAACACTTGTAGGCTCCCACACCCCCGATCTAGTAGCAGTGGATCCAGTTTCTTCAGTAATGATTCGACGGATAACATCAATTATCCTTAACGTCTAAACAAGAATTCAAATTGTAGTGTAGTTAAGATTAACAACGTAATTTTTTTTCTAAAAAGAAACTCAATAGAACAAAACTTTTAAAACTAGTTCTACTTTATACAAATATCATGAGATTTAACTTATGAATTTTAACGGATCTCCTTACTTTGAGTGATTATGAACCGAAGGTAGATAAGAATATCTTTTTTGAACGTAGATTATCTTTTTCTGACAAAAATTGAGTTTGAGTGAGGTAAAAAAAAGAATGGAAAATAAATTAACTAATTAGTCAGATATTGGAGTACGAGTCACACCCTGAGCGTGAGGGACAGTGATACTAGCCGATTGTCCAAACCAAAATAAGTGGGAAAGGGATTATGAAAACTATATTATGAAGGAACTGAAAATCCTGGGTGTAAAAAAAGAAAGATGATGCGAAATTAGGAACTGTGGCATTGGTCTTTAAATGGTTTTATCGATTATAGGACAATAACGGTATATTTCCATGGTACCTGTTGAATGTAGATAAAACGAACTACTTAATGTCTGGTCTTGTACGTTGATGAACAGAAAAAGAACCACCTATTTCTGTCCCTAGTATTCGGTAAATTTTCTTCACATCATGTAAATATGTTGACTAGACTTCTCAAAAGGCTGAATACTTCAATATTCACAAAACATGGGCGCGGCTCATACTATAAAGGTTTCTAATACGACCACATAAAGCTTTTTTAGTATTAATAGCAAAATTTATCCAAACCATTTTAACAACAAAAGCCGACTGATGGCGATTTTAATCTAGCCAATACTTTGACTTGTTTCCACTGCAGTTACTATATTCACTACACATCAGAATTGGTAAACCAAAAATATCGTAAGCAGTTTAATCAAAAATAAGTTGCACTTGAAAGTTTACACTGTAAAATGAGATAAACAACAAAAATATTTTTAGAGTTACCCCATGATATGTTGGACACCGTAATATATGTGTTAGGTACATGTTCAATGGCTCTTCTGAAGACGGGTCTATCGCTTCGTTATTTGATGAAGTACCGTGAGTTAATAAGACATAATTTGCTGTTGCGGTGTCCGATCCCTTGGACAAATTCTTGATCTCATTAAGTGGAAAACAAATTAATTGTTCATTGGAAATTGAGTCCGTAATGCTAGAAGAAAACAGGGAAATTGAGACAAAATAATACAAAGAAGGAAATCTAGTGTTCGATTAAGTAACGGACTAATAAGTAAAAGTATAAAATGTGCCTAACGAAATAGGTTTGATAATGAAATGCGGTAATTAAGCGAAATTGTGCATAATATTAGTTACACATGATAGTGACAAAAGTCAGCCAGTCAACTACAACGTAGGACCAGACGCATATATGCATCGGTCCAAGTTGCCATATCTTATAAGCACAGCAAGATAAACACTGGATTCATAGAAATAGTTTATTTAGTGGTGGTAGTATATAAAAGATAGGTTGTATATAAGAATATAGTATAGGAAGGAAGAACGTTATGAAGCAATTTTAATCTCAAGGTTTAAGGGAAGATAAAGAGTGTATACACCTACGCCATTGTGATCGATTCTGAGTCATGTCACCTAAAGTCTCCAACCATTGGTTACGATGATCGCGCGGACCCCAACCAGGTAGTCTACATCTACCAACATGGCTCAGACTAGAAGTTAGTGACTTCATGCTCTGATGCCACGTTTTGGTTTGGCCGCCCTTAACTCTCTACCAACCATCCCCAATACTAGTCAGCATTGCGCGTCGTGGTAATCGGTGTTCAGGCATACGTAACACGTGGCCCAACCATCTCATTCGATGAAGATTCATCACCTCATCAACTGATTTACCATAATTCCCTAATACCCTGTATCTAACCTCACTATTACTTACCCCGTGATCCCAGCAGATGCGAGCAATATTTCTAAGGCATCTGTGGTCAAATACCAGTAACCTACGAGTATCTTCTACTCTTAATGGCCATGTTTCGCAGCCGTAAAGTAGAACGGAGTGAACTGATGCGCAGTATACTCGTCCCTTAATTGATAGACGGATATCTCGTCTTCGCCATAGGTGACGTAAGTTGGCAAAAGCCAAACGAGCTTTCCGAATCTGTGTTGAGATTTCGTCAGACACCAACCTATTAGGGCTGATCAGACTTCCCAGATAAGTGAAGTTGTCGACGCGTTCGACTACTTTGCTCCCTATCCTAAGTTCATGTTTTGACGCAGACGAGTCCTGGAGTAACAATTTACATTTGGATGGGGAGAAACGCATCCCAAACATCCTGGCATTATTACTCAGTTCTAACAGAAGACTCTGCATTTTGTCAGCGTCTTCACCAAACAGGACTATGTCATCTGTGTATTCTAAGTTGATAAGCAGACCTCCTTGTAGGAGCTCAGAGCCCATAAGTTCAGTCGACGAGTGTTATTTCCAGCAGTAGGTCTATGATGAAGTCAAACAAAAATGGGGATAGCGGACAACATTGTCGGACACCACTTGAGGTTGTAAAATCAGATGACAGTTCGCCATAAGCTCTCACTCGACTGGTAGTGTTCGAGTAAAGAGCCTTCACAAGGTTTATGTACTTCTGAGGTGCACCTTCCGATGACAGACATTGCCACAGAACCTCTCGGTCTACAGAGTTAAGTGTTGCTTTCAAGTCAAGAAAAACTATCGTTTTCGAACGCCGATAAGCATGCCTGTGCTCTAAAACCTGACGAATAGTGAATATGTGGTCGATGCACCCACGACCAGGTCTGAAGCCAGCCTGATTTTCTCGTGTTTGCAGTTCACATGTCTTAGTTAGGCGCCCGATAATTATTGAGGCTAGTATTTTAGATGCTATGTGACACAAGTAAACTAAACAGGTCATCGTTAATAAGTCAGAGCTACTGCATGAGATTTCAAGTGAAAAGTAAATACGAAAACATCTATGCGCGAAATGGACTTACCATAAAATCCCCTCTCTGTTGGTTGGAATCAATAAATTTACGACAGTGAAACAGTCCGTCGGGTTGTTTTCAAGAACATGAAAATATTTGTTTACTTCATTTTTGTTCCATGACGACATATCGATATTTGGAGAAAAAAATTGGATGTCCTCGAAATAAATGCATCGAGAGTCCGAACCATTCGTCTTATCAAGTGAAGGATTCGAATCCATATCACAGTTCCTGATTATTTTAGGTAAGGATTTGAATATTCTCCTGATCGTCTACAGGAATCGGATGATTCAAATAACTACCTTTAAGAAAGTTAAATGACAACATTTAGCAAGCTGCAACGAAGAGAAAAGGTTATTCAAAATAACCACTGGATTGTAATAATTAACTGGGTTTAACACCAACCACTTTATTATATCAGATTACTTAAAAGCATTAAATTACAAGAGTTCAGAGTGTATAGTATTTATAAACACTTTCGTAGGATCACGGACAGCAACCAATGTTTAGAATATTTGCATTAAAATGTAGAATCAAAAACATGTATTCACTAACCTAGAATTTTAAGCAACTGAGTAGAAATATTGACATGAAAACACACTCACAATGCTTTAATGAGTTTTGCAACCAAATTTAAGCTAGCTTATAAGTATGAACCAGAAGTATACGTCACAACCCAACTTCCAATATCCCTGCTGTTTTCATTACCTGCTCATTCAGTTCCGTTCCGAATACTTTCCAAAAGCAACTTGTTGATAAGCATGTCAAGTAGAATAAAATCTGCGCAGGCATTAGAGATGCGTATGATGAATTCTTACTTGCTAACATTTTTAATGTATAAAATAATAAATGACATAGAAGGTTTCTTTTAGTTATGGATCTACTTCACTTGATGAGTTATCTACACCACTAATGAACAGTGAATGAACTCAAATATCTAGAACCTCCGTTTGCTTAAAGCAATTAAGTTCACTTTAATTTAACAAGATAATAGAGACATAATCAATTTAACAATTACGACTTCAATTTGGATTTCGGACTGCAGAACAGCAAGACGGTCGTAGTATCATCGATTCAAATTCAGTCACTACTCTGAAAAAGTGCTTTCCTGATAGATTTTTTACGAAAAGAGATTTCACAACAAATTGATAGAGCTTTTGCCTAAAAAACGAAGTTTATAATTGAACCAAATTGTATCTCACTGAAGAATGATTAGTCAGCAAGAATCATCAAGTATAGAGGTACAGTGGTTGTATGTCATTTTTGTTGCTGATGAAACGAAGAAAAACAACAGTTTCACTAAGGCTCGTAGAGAATAACAATATATCAAAATTCAGAATTGCTAAAGCACTAAAAGATTCCACAAACTTAGTTTTTGGCAATGAGAGTTAGACCTCTGAAAACAACAGATTATCTCAGTACTAACTTCACTCATACAGCTCACAGTATCAGGTGCTAAGATCCTTTTTGCCCGTTAAGTACCGCAAGAGCTAATTTCAGCGCTTTCAACTGAGCTTTAGATATGTGGTTTAAGATCCAATGTCTTCAAATCTGTGAGGAACTTGCATAAACCAACTGATTTATTTGCTCTCGCGTTTTTTGACACGTTCAAGTCACAGGTTTTAATGTATAACGAGCAGTAGTCCAACCACTTGAATGGACAAACCCTTGTCAGTTTATTGATAATTTATGTGTTTGTTTATTTTGTGATCTGCGTGAGTGCCTTTATCTCAAACCAACAAGGTTTCTGGATCATTACTAGGACCACATTACCACATTACTAGGACGAAGGATAGTTAGTTTTAATGTGAAAAATAATGAATGACCGAACGCCTTCAGCCACGTGAATCCATTAGAACTAATGTGTCCAGCATCCACTGTCGAAAATATACAGAGCTGTTGGTTTTGGGGATTTATTTACTGCTACACTGATCTTAATCGTGGATAAATATGCAATTCAATTATCGTTGTGTTCTCTTTTATACTGTTACTTTCTGCTTATTATTCTTACTATGAGTTGGAGTCTCGGTAGGAATGAAATCTCGATCACTGGGTTAGGTACTGGGTTTAGGTGTTTGAGATATGTTAGCCTTGTCCAATGTCCTTTGGAGCTTTTCATAGGGCTTTTCAACTTATTATCATCACTCGAATTAAGATGTTGTAAGACCATCTACGTTGATGGTCTATGTCAAAATGATCGGGGGCCTACTATAGTTAGACGAGAATGGGGACGAACCAATTAACGCTGAAGTCACACCTCGCGACCAGCCCTTACGTGGATTGAACCATCGACGCATCAAAGGATAATAGATGCTATGGAGACTGTACAACACAAAGGACGTTATGACAAGAATATATTAGTTAAGGTACAACTACGGAAGTACAGAAGTGAAAGAATAACCACTGCCGCGTGGGCCAGTCCATGGCGTACGATTGGTTTGTGCGCGTTGACTATCCTCGACCTTGACAGGGATCAGTGATCTGTTCGATATTCAGTGACCCTACAATACTCCCCCACCAGATTCAACGGCCGTTTGAGTCGATACCAAACATGTTGGGAGTAGTCGCGCGCCGGAGGTTGCCAGACGATTAATATGAATCCTCCGGGTATTGCCGAGCTGCAAAAGAAATGGAAAGGAGGCTGCAGAAACTGATCGGGAAACAACGAGTAATAACACGTAACAAGGACGTTGGTTGAATGTTAAGCGATCAACCATAGAAATAATAGAAAAAGAAACATTTTGGAGTTTTATCAAGTCGCGTTGAAAAATATAGCTCTGACAAGTGGTTGAGTTCCTCAGGTGAGAAAAAGTAAGTTTGTCGCAAGAGTAGTGATGTCACAGTGATAGTACGATAAGTGTATTATCAATCGGTGCCGATGTTTGTACTGCCCTTGGTACAAAGTAGAAAGTCAGTAAGTGTCGCTGACAACCGTTCGTAAGCGTCGATTTCTAGTTATATATATATTCAACAGACTAACTGTAAGTACAGAATTATAACCGTGAAGATAAGTCGTGGTTTCCTTGTGCGAAGCTTCTGATCAACTTGCAGTCAGTTTGGAAAAACTGATAACTGCTGTGAAAATCAATGTGGGTCGAAGAATAGAGAGTGAGAGCGAAAGGTGGCACGATGAAATCTCTAAAAGATGATAATTGGTGAGTGCTGCACACGTGTTTGATGAGTGAACCGAAAAATGTCGAAAAAAACATAAGAAACCAAGAGTGTCACTCTGGACTCATGTCAGTGATATCGGTGAAAAATGCTGTCAGTGTTGGGGTCGAGACGACAATATCGTTGTCAGTTTGCAGGAGATGCGCTCGACTGCGTAAACCGATGATTCGCGTGAATTAGTGTCGTCAAACCACCAATTGAACTGGACAGGCTTTAGACCGTCGAGTAGTTGAACAGCCGATTGATGTACCGAAATCATCTGTTAGATAACAGCCATGCGGAAACAATACTTCATAATATGAAAAAATACGACGTCGAAGTTGAATAACTACAATAGTTCGGAGGTGTTGTAATGTCACATCGAAGTAACATTATTTCGTATACTGACAATTGTACTGAACGTTCGTTTGGGCATTGTTTATGTAGCAATTGGATGTGCAGTATCAAACATGTACGAAGACTATCGTGGGGTTTGTGGAGAATTTCAGAAGACGTTTAGATATTTTCCAAACCCGTATTGCATGTGAATAAGCCGAAGACGGAATTAAAGTGACTTTCGTGCAATAAGGAAATCGAGTCATGATTTACTGTATGAGATAACAGCAAACAAAAAAAAGCGCATAGTAAACATTAATTTAAATGGTAACCACCAATGTAACTAAAGTTTAGGTTTAGATAACGTGATCGTTTCGTAAAAAAGCATATTATCTAGCTCTAAGTGACATCAAGTACGACGAAGTGTCTCATTAAGACATGGACTAAGATTGCTCGTGTACATGAAATACGTTTTTTTGGAGTATGTTGACTTACAAGTCATAAATATAAGTAGTTTCGACTAACATTTGACGGCAGTGACAGAATGTATGACTACTCTAAGTGAAAGTAGCCGCAAAATGTTAGACATTATAAACATTATACGAAATTAAGTAACTCAATTATGAAACTCGCCTGGATTACTCTTGCTCCAAAGTAATTGAAATTTGTGGATTAACTTCGTAGATTAAGGAAACGTTGTAGACTGAATTGGAATAAGTCTAATTTAGGTTGAACACGTAGAATTGCCTGACGAAGTTTAAACAAGATCTAACATTGCAGGAAATTTATAGTTCAAACTCACCGTAAATTTCTAGCATTTGTATCCTCTGATTCGCCATGGAACTCAGCAATTGGAAATTAGGCAGGCAGTGGTCAAGAAAGTAAAATATTCTAGTAGATAGTTTTTGATAGTAGTTAGTTGACAGTGAATAAGCAGAAAGATGAATTTAATAATCGGCAGTTTATCCTGTATTGGTTATACAAGTGGATAAGTTGCAAACAGATATGCGTACGTGTTGCCTTGAGGCCATACTTACGAGTGGTTGATATTTTAACAGACACATTACACAGGAGCATTTACATGCTGCTAATGCATGTTAAAGAACCACGATAGTCGATTACAGTCGTAGTTGATTGGTTAGTTCTATCGATTGAACTAATTATTTCAGTTGAAATACTAATCAACATTGATATGAAGCAACGAATGTTCACAGAAACTGATAAAGATAGCCGAAGTTAAAAATGGAAAATAATAAGTACAAAATGTAAAAAAAAGAACATAATGATAGGTTGCGTTATTCGAAGTCTTGCTCACCAGTGTAAGACCATCTACGTTGATGATCTATGTCAAAATGATCGGGGGCCTACTATAGTTAGACGAGAATGGGGACGAACCAATTAACGCTGAAGTCACACCTCGCGACCAGCCCTTACGTGGATTGAACCATCGACGCATCAAAGGATAATAGATGCTATGGAGACTGTACAACACAAAGGACGTTATGACAAGAATATATTAGTTAAGGTACAACTACGGAAGTACAGAAGTGAAAGAATAACCACTGCCGCGTGGGCCAGTCCATGGCGTACGATTGGTTTGTGCGCGTTGACTATCCTCGACCTTGACAGGGATCAGTGATCTGTTCGATATTCAGTGACCCTACAATGTCTATTATTTGTTGTTGTAGTTAGATTATTACTTCTGGTCACAACGTTCTTGCTGTTCACGTTACTCAATAGACCGAAAGGTCGAATGTAAGTGAATAAAAAGAAGCACATATGATGTAAATTTTGATCTCTAAACGACTCATGTTGAATGTAAATCTCAGTGAATGCGTCTTCAGCCTCAAAGATAACGTGATTACAAACCAGTGTCACTAACCTTGGTGAGATTATGGTTGTCTGATTTATGATTGTGGTTTTCTATCGCCAGAAAAAGACGCAGTTTTGTCCTATGAAGTGGTTTGCTGGTCCGCGTTAGCAGAGAAAACTAGGTGCTTATCGTTAATGATGCGAACAAGGGAGGTTAGATCAAACTCAAAGAGCTCATTGAAAACCTGTCCAATAGCTTCCCACAGACTTGTAACCGCTATCGCATCCAAAAACTAAATCCATTTTCTCGCAGGAAAGCTATGTGAAAGAATATCAAACACTTATTCAGGTTCGGATTCGTACAACGGGGTCAGAAAGTGAAGGCTTATATTGAATCCACTTTTGTAAGCTTCGATGAGTATCTTGTACTGTACGCTGGAGTTGGGAACGCAAAGTCCTCCGTCAGTAGACTCTAGAAGTTGATTATTCAGCGCGAAAACCTGTGCTCTACCAGTACTTCTTTGAGTTATATTCCCGAATAGGATGGACAAAGACTTTGGAACGTCTAACGGACAAGTTCAGGTTAGTCTGATCACCTTTTCGTTATCTTTTCTGAAGACACCTCTCTTATACGCAAGTATAACGCGTGTCGATACTGTACATATCTCTAAGGTTGACGAATTAGTGACTCTACGTGGTTGTTCGTGTAATCTCCAAGGCCAATAGAATGCCTATTTTGGGCAGCAGCCCACGTGCCCTTACTTACATACGCCTGTTACCCCTCGTGGAAAAACATAGCCCGCCCACTAGCATTCTCCATTCAGCTCTGTCCTGAGCAATCTTTTCCAGTTCTTTCCAGTTGTTATTCATCCTTTTCATGTCTGGTTCTATTTCCCAGCGTAATGTGTTCTTTGGCCTTCCACTTTTCCGCTCCCATTCCGGATTCCAAGTTAGCGCCTGCCTCGTGATGCAGTTATATGGTTTCCTTAACGTATGTCCTATCCACTTCCAAGGTCTTTTCCTAATTTCCTCTTCAGCTGGAAGTTGATTTGTTCTCTCCCATAAAACACTGTTGCTGGTAGTATACGGCCAGTGAATGTTGAGTATTTTACGTAGACAACTGTTTATAAATACTTTTACCTTCTTGATGATGGTCGTGGTAGTTCTCGAAGTTTTAGCTCCGTACAGTAGGACTGTCTTGACGTTCGTATTGAAAATTCTCACTTTGAAATCGGTTGACAGCTATTTTGAGTCCCAAATGTTCTTCAATTATAGGAGTGCGGTTCTTGCTTTACCATCCCGTCAGAAGTCGAACTTTTTATGATCCAGTCAATCGACCATATGGTATAACAAATTCATTATTAGATAAAAAGTTTTCAGTCTACCCGTTAAATCTTTCGTAAATTGTGGTTAAGGCTACACAATAAACATTGCTGCTCAACATCTTCCCCTTGTAATAGTCAACGAATATATCCTCTGACCAAAGATTCCCCGGTATGATTAAGCGCGTGCAGTAAATTCACTCACATTCACTGTCTTACGAAAGTACGCGTATACATGGAAAGATCACAGTATGATACTAGCATACCTATGAACGATACAGATAGCATTAACTTTGTCTTGCACACAGTGCATGGCGAAGTTTTGTATTCCCCATACTGTCGCCAAATGTATTTAAAATCCACCTCATATAATTGAATAACGTTTTGTTTGTCCACACAGGCAGTACAGGACAACCACAACTACAATTATTGGCAGTAACTAGAAGGAACGAAAATGTCCACAAAATATTTATGAAGTAACATTTTTGCCATTCCTCGTTTGAGTTGTATGCCAAATCAATGTAAACCACCCTTGGATGCTTACCATAAAATCCAGTCTGTTGTTGAATTGCGGAAAACGTCGAGACAGAATGTCATTCCTTAAATAAAACTATTTAAGCACTGCATTCTGACGTAATACATTGAGCATGTCATAGTGAGACTAGCCTATCTACAAATAGTTGATTCCATGCTTACTGTCAACGAGCTTGGACTTGAGATTAGTTCTATGTTAAATATATCCTTCACATATTCAACTACTATGTCCATCATAGATGTTTGTCTCAGTGTCAGAGCTATGTCTTTCTTCTTAGGAGACAATCATCTACCTAATGGGGAGCAAAGCGTAAAGTTTACAGGATACTCGTGAATATGAGCCATCTTAAAAGATGTTATCGTATGTTCGCAGTAACATGGAGCAACTACAACCGTTGACAGGCAAACAAGATACTTAGACATACTTGATTATATATAAGTAAACGTTATGCGATTTTGAAACCAAGCCAACACATGGTCGTTTACTCGTAACCCCGGACACACGTCAAAAAAAACTCATACCTCTAACACCTACTACGATTTACTTTGCTACATAGATGTACGCAGTGATCAACCCACACCATTATTGTTATTATCATTATTATTACTATTCACAAACATCTTATAAGCGCATAAGTGTTGTGAAGAAACAACTTCGGGTTTCCTTCAAAATGCAATAATACACAGGCTTGAATAATGTTAGCATTATATTCGCCATATTGAAAAAGAGGAAAGAAAGAAAAAATATTCATGATAGAATAACAATAAATCAGATTCTGTGCAGTTGAGAAGAATATTGAATTGATTTTAAAGAAGTAAATGAAGAAACTAAAGAAATAGAAATAGAAGAGATGCGAAATACGTACATAGTTTCATAAGCATGCTTTATGAACACAGAACAAGAATATATATATCGCAAAATGAGTAATAAAAATAAAACAAAATAAATTAATAAGTAAATAACTTATTATTGCGGTAAGATTTACAATTTAATCAATATGTGATATTGAGGTTGTTCTCTTACGCTCACAATTCAGATTCATGTTTCCAATTTTTATGCTGGATTAGCTATTCTACTAAGGCAAGCTATAACATGCTAACTCAGACTTTGACATTAAAACTGTGTGGCAGGCATCGGATGAAAAAAAGTAGGAAAAAATCAGACAATAAAGGGTATAGTTATTAGTTTTCTTAACACTTTACTGTCTATATGCGCTCTCTGTTCTAATAAGCACCCTTCCTTATTCCAACCCTGACTTCCCTCCCTTCATTTGAACTTACTCCACCTTGATAAATATCACAACTCATTGTTCTTTTTTCCTGCATTCTCGCATTTGGAGCCCCTGACCACATTTCACTCTAACAACAAGAGCCAGTACGAAACTAATCTAATGATTTATCATATCCTTTTCCGTTTCACTACTAAATGTTAAGCATTGTTTGTTGTTCGTATCCAAATGCCTTTCTGCTCCTCGGTTACCCTCTTTTTTCTTCAGAATCTTGCTCTTAAGGCAAGGTTGAGGAACTTCTGACATATGGAACAAAATGGACGTACATGTTTTCCCAAAACCATAGTTCACACCACGTGCTCGACAAATCTGCTTTATAACAACTATAAACTTAAAAAGTTGCATTACATAGATACTTAGCAGGACCAAAATCCTAACACAATTTTATCGAAATTTGATCTGGTGTATAACGGGGACGCGATGCCACTTTAGAAGATATTATGAAGACCACACAGTATAACCGGACAATTGAACTGATAATCACTTTTATAGATTATATTTACTTAACAACCCTGCTTGTGATGCATGTTGTGAAGCAGTAAATGCTGTAACTTGTAGATCATGCGTGTAAAAATGGCATGTACCTGCCCTTGCAGAAATATATTATTATTAAAAAATGAACGGTATATTTATGCGCTTCAAAGCGATCTGCAAGAATTATCTGAACAGCCTATAATTATATGGTTGCCGGTTAATGCATTGTGATGCTGTAGTGAATGTCGAGTCGAAGACGGACTATGATCACCACTACAATTCGTTTACGCGCCCAAAAACGACTTGGTTCCTTTAATAGCTCGTAAATTAAAAAGCTTTATTAATCCAAATCAAGTATATTTATTGGCGATCTCTTGGTATCGAAATAATACCAGTCAGTCAGCTACAACGTAGGACCAGGCACATATATGCATCGGTCCAAGTTGCCATACCCCTTTAGCACAACAAGATGAACACCGGATTCATAGAAGTAATTAATTTAGTGGTGGTAGTATATAAGGAAAGGTTGTATATAAGGATATAGTATAGGAAGGAAACAAGTTATGAAGCAGTTTTAATCTCAAGGTTTAAGGGAAGATAAAGAGTGTATACACCTACGCCATTGTGATCGATTCTGAGTCATGTCACCTAGAGTCTCCAACCATTTATTACGATAGTCACGCGGACCCCAACCAGGTAGTCTGCATCTGCCAACATGGCTCAGGCTAGGAGTTAGTGACTTCAAACACTGATGCCATGTTTTGGTTTCGCCGCCCCTAACTCTCTTCCAACCGTCCCCAATACTAGTCATCATAGCGCGTCGTGGTAATCGGTGTTCAGGCATACGTAACTATGATAATTAGTAGTATTTGAATTGTAGTATGAACTAGTAATCCCAGGAATAACGCAATTTAATCAAGAAGTATCAGATGAGCCCGAACGAATGTATTGTATTTGGAATTCAAAATTACAACAGTCATCAATACTAAGAAGTCATTGATTTATTTAAACATCACATCCGCCACAGCTCGAATTGAAGTGTAAGTATCTGTAATCGATTGTTTGTCTTCTTCTTAAGTTCATCCTACATCTGTCCGATGGTGTATTGAATGTACACTCTGTATTATCTAGAATGCACTCATTAGTATTAGAATTAACAACGGAAATTGGAACAGACTCACCTGGGTTCTAGAATTGTATACAATCAGCATGTCGGTTGTGTAGTGAAACCATTGATATTTAGAATTTGCATCATGGACTTTCCAACAATATCCTCCCCCTCGAAATAATGTTGGGTCCTTGATTCGCAATGTTTTAGCCAATATGACGTTCCCAATTTGCATTATCTCAAATCTTACGCACCGACTACTGTATGTGAGTATTTGGGAATAAACACTGATATATAATTTGAGGTATTCCATCATGTGACTTTGACTTGAATAAAAATCATGATACATATTCTTTTTGTTATTCATATTAGAATACACAGATGGATATACATTGATATATGTAATTAACACACGTGATTCAATTAGGCTTGATTTACCTGCGAAACAATCGGATAGAAAACATTCATCTGCCTCATATTCATTAGGATAATCTTGGACTTGATTTGGATTCTCTGTCTGTGCAAACTTCACTTCTGGGCAAACTGGTTCTCCGGTTGCTTGGGAAAATTTTGCTATCCCCTCTGTATCATTATACCCCTGACTAGGGATTCTATTCAACATGCATTGTTCGTGAGAGTATCCAACATATGACACAATAACATCAGAAATATGACTAGAATTCAACTCATAAGAAACATATTTGTCACATTCATGAGGAATATCATTAGAGATAAATTCATTGTGAGGACCACTGACGCTTGATATGATATCAGAATTCGATTCTTCTGAAATATTTTCCTGAAATTGATTAAGAGTTTCATTAGGTAATGGATCATCAGGGAATTCAACATCTACCATGACTGAATTTGGTTTTTGATCATGATTTGACTCATTTAACATTCTATTCTCAGAGTTGTAAGAAATTACATCAGAAGTATGTGAATTATTACGACAAACCATATCTGGCACAATAACATGAGAAATCTGATAAGTTTGTTGGTTGAGAATTTTCGCCTCCCAATGACTCTGGGTTTCATTCAACTCTGGACTGTTATATAACGTTATACCTCTTCTAGATAAAGATAACTGATCATTAGAAGCATCCATCTTAGCATTACTTTCAGAGAAATGAACCATGGTATTACAAACTGACTGAATATGTCCAGTTATACCACATTTAAAGCATTTAGAATTACGAAATATACATGAATTACATGGGTGAAACTTGCCGCAGAACATGCATTTACTAAACTTGTGCTCATCATCATGGACTGTTTCACAACTCAATGAAGTATTATCTGAATAAATTTGATTACGCATCGAACTACGACGACTGTTTGAACAAGTGGAATTCCTGATGTTCTGACGAGTCATTTTATCGGATTTTCCTTTCTTACCGCATTCGGAATTTGTATACTTTACATGATCCAACAGAAGTTGCTTGAGAGTTGCATAGGGGAGTGAAATCGGTTTGTCTGGAAGTGCCAAAATCTTTATAAGGCTGTATGCTTCTTTCCCGATGAATGTAAGGAAATGGGCCACAATATTAAAATCATCATCATCTTCTTTGGTCATAGCCCAGATTTCGAACCTTTCCATGTACTCCTCAAAAACATTAAAATCTGAATTTATATTTAACCGTTCCATCACAGGCTCAGTCGCGACGCCAATATGATAATTAGTAGTATTTGAATTGTAGTATGAACTAGTAATCCCAGGAATAACGCAATTTAATCAAGAAGTATCAGATGAGCCCGAACGAATGTATTGTATTTGGAATTCAAAATTACAACAGTCATCAATACTAAGAAGTCATTGATTTATTTAAACATCACAGTAACACATGGCCCAACCATCTCAGTCGATGAAGATTTATCACCTCATCAACTGATTTACCATCGTTACCTAATACCCTGCGTCTAACCTCACTATTACTTACCCCGTGATCCCAGCAGATGCGAGCAATATTTCTAAGGCATCTGTGGTCAAATACTAGTAACCTACGAGTATCTTCTACTCTTAATGGCCATGTTTCGCAGCCGTAAAGTAGAACAGAGCGAACTGATGCGCAGTATACTCGTCCCTTAATTGATAGACAGATATCTCGTCTTCGCCATAGGTGACGTAAGTTGGCAAAAGCCAAACGAGCTTTTTGAATCCCTGCTGAGATTTCGTCAGACACCAACCCATTAGGGCTGATCAGACTTCCAAGATAAGTGAAGTTGTCGACGCGTTCGACTACTTCGCTCCCTATCCTTAGTTCAGATGTTGACGCAGACGAGTCCTGGAGTAACAATTTACATTTGGATGGGGAGAAACGCATCCCAAACATCCTGGCATTATTACTCAGTTCCAACAGAAGACTCTGCATTTTGTCAGCGTCTTCACCAAACAGGACTATGTCATCTGCGTATTCTAAGTCGCTTAGTGGTCCCCCTGGTAGGAGATCAATTCCTGTAAACTCAGTCGACGAGAGAGTCATTTGCAGCAACAGGTCTATAATGAAGTTAAACAAAAAGGGGGATAGTGGACAGCCTTGACGGACACCCCTTGAGGTTGTAAAATCATATGACAGTTCGCCATAAGCTCTCACTCGACTGATAGTGTTCGAGTAAAGAGCCTTCACAAGGTTTATGTACTTCTCAGGTACACCTTTCAATGACAGACACTGCCACAGAACCTCTCGGTCTACAGAGTTAAGTGTTGCTTTCAAGTCAAGAAAAACTATCATTGTCGGACGCCGATAAGCATGTCTGTGCTCTAAAACTTCACGAATGGTGAATATGTGGTCGATACAGCCACGACCAGGTCTGAAGCCAGCCTGATTTTCTCGTGTTTGCAGTTCACGAATTTTAGTTAGGCGCCCGATAATTATTGAGGCTAGTATTTTAGATACTATGTTAGTCAGACTAATCCCTCTATGGTTATCGCAGGATGATTTTGACCCCTTTTTATATATTGGGACAATCAGTGATTGTGACCAGTCGGATGGGATTACATCCGTCTCCCAGATTTTAGCCAGAATATTAGTCAACCTAATCGCTAAAATTGGACCACCATATTTAAAGACCTCTGGAGCCAATCCATCAGGACCAGCTGCTCTCTCTCGTTTCAGATTACCTATAGCCTTTTGAACTTCAAGTAGGGTCGGGGGGCCTACTTCAATGTTCCATTCAGGTTTTCTAGGAATAGTGGGTAGTTGTGCAGTAGCTGAAGGCCAGCTAAACTGCTCCTTAAATTGTTCCGCCCATCGTTCTAAACGTTTGGGTTGAGAGCAGATAAGGGTTCCATCTTTTTCCGAGATCGTCTCACTTACACTTGACTTCTTAATTCCAGTTTCTTTTATTAGTCTGAATAGTTGCCTGGTGTTGCCTACAGCCGCTGCCTTTTCCATCTCTTTTGCTTTCGTTGCCCACCACTGCTCACGATCGTTCCTTAGACTTTTGGTTAACCTAGATCTAATTTCTTTACGCTCTTCGTCATGTTCAGAGCCTGATGGTATGAGCTTACGCGAATCCATCAGTGAAATAGACTTAGAAGAAATCCACTGGTTTTTTGGAGCCCTATGGTTTAAATGACTAATAGATGTTACTGCTGTTTCCACAGCTGTTCGTATGCCTTTCCAAGCAGCATCTGGGTCAGTCTCGTTTACAGAACTGCCTAGATGTGAACTCAGTTGTTTCTGGAATTCGCATTTGGCTTTCTCGTCCTCCAGTTCAATCCTAATGGGTCTTCTTAGTGTACTTTTCCTGCGTCCATTGAGGCGCAGACAAATGCGCGCTCGTATTAAAGCGTGATCAGAGTCTAAACAAGTATTCCAATACGAGCGACAATCTTCTATTGAGCCTCTCCAACGATGACTGATGACAATATGGTCTATTTGAGTCCATCGTTGGTTTGGTGCAGGTGGTCGCCATGTTAGACGATGTCTCTCCTTATGTTTAAAATTAGTGCTTGCCAAAAATAAACGATTGTCTGAGCATAGTTGCAACAGACGATCACCATTATCGGTTCGTTGAGCCGGAATACTAAAACACCCACCTAGATGTCTTTCTGTTTGATTCAAGCTGCCTACCTGGGCATTAAAGTCACCCGCTACGACTACTATGTCTGAGCGCTTAGCTTTCTGAAGAAGCTCAGAGAGCTTTCTGTAAAAGTCATCTTTCACCTCATCATGGCTGCAGTCAGTGGGAGCGTAGGCAGAAACGACGAAAAGGCAACGACGTGTGTCCCTATCCTTCCGAGTTCTTACGGAGCCATTTAGCCGGACAGCACACAGGCGACTGTTAACGGGGATCCATTCTAGTAGTGCCTGTTCTGCCTTTGTACTTAGTGCTATACCTACACCTGCAAGTCCACGAGAACTAGCCAACGGGTCGCCAGATACACGGAGGGTGTATTTCGTTGGCTGTCCATTTTGGCGAGGTGAGGTCAAGTGAATGACCACACTAGGATCCTGTATGCGTGTTTCGGAGACACAGCATACATCAATGGTACGCGACTCTAAGGTTTTAGCTAAGGAGGCCTGTTGACCGATTTGACTTAAAGTACGTACGTTGAAGGCTCCAATGTGTAGTTTGGAGCGAGGTTTTAGTAGACCTGGGATAGCGTTTCGCGCACTAGAATCGTTGGCCATGGTGACACTTGAGGAGGAAACCGAGAGAGGAAGTTTAGTGTTGAAAGTCAAGGTAGTAGGAATTGAAGAAGGAGATTGATTATGAATACAGTGGTCTTGAGTGTTGTTAGAGGTATGAGGGCAGTTATCACTTCCCGGTTGCCCACACCGTGGAAGGATTCTTCTAGAGGTACCTGAAAAGGAAATTGGGTTGGAAGTGGTCTTAATGACCTGAGAGCGTGACCGCAGTGCCCAAGTGACATCTGCTTGAGGTCGGTCACACACGACCTTTTTGTGGGTAGTTTTTGTGTTAGCTCCGTTCTTCAAAAAAAACCTTACGGCCGGAGACGGATATCCGTGGGATAAGGCGAGGTGTGCATTTTTAGGGTCGACCTTTTCTAACCCCACCCCTCCTTGTGGGAAGGCAGCATCGCTGTCATGCTGGTTGTCTGAAGGAAACACCTTACTGCTTTCACACCTCTGTACAGTTAGCAGTACGACTTCGCCTTCGGACCTTGGGTTTGCTGCTTTTAGTCTCACCGCTCTTCAACCGACCTGTCTGGCATGGTAGGACCTTGAGGAACGATTGTTCCAGCCAGCATAGCTCGATTGCTTCATCACGATAGGCAAGCCCGACCACCACGTCAAGGTAGCAGCAACGGTCGGGGAAATAATACCGAGACGTGCCAAAGAGTACAGGCAAAATGAGCAGTGTGTGAGCAAGTTCGAACCAAACAAGGCGGAGAGCGAAACAAGAAGTGAAACTGATACAGTCAAACAAATACAGTGAAACAATCTCTGGTACAATTGGTTACAATAATAATAATTGTTTCCGTTATTCCAATGGTGTTCTTATCGAGACTGGCCGGTCACTACAATGCAAATTGGTGATGCTGCAGTCCCCCAAGTTTCCCCAAAGTATGGAGATCGGGTATGCAGCAAGCACAAAAATTACGAATATTAACAATGATGGTAAAAATGCAGTTGGCAACTGACATTAAACATACTCAATAATATATAACATGTGAGCAGGAGACTATAGCTCAGTTTATTCTTCGTGCCCTCGCCGTCACCCCAGTTGCTCCAAGTTGTGCAAGTAGAAAGTAGGTAATCCAATCCACAGGATGATTTTTATTTTATGCTGAAAAAGCCTGACCCACTAAAGATACACTGAAACATGTATATAGGTTAAGTATACCATACTGATGGCCTTGAGTTGACCAATCATAGTTATCATAACGCCTCATATATTTTGCGCGAAACTTGGAGCGTAGTGACCGGTACGTATGTAAAAATTGACTATATTTAACTTTTAAAATGAATCTAAGCAATCAAAATATCGATTACACACCAAATAAGTGAATATTAGGTGGTGTTTGGGCTGAATTACAAAACATACTTGTTTGTAAACCAGATTGTGAGTTGAACCATATTAAAAAACACCTAAGTGCCTGTCAAATGTTTCCAAAAATTCACCTAATTCTGGATACTTTGCACACTTTCCCCAAGCCTTGGATTCTTTTCTAACTTGACTCTACAAATCTCAGAGTTGGTAGCTCGAATGTTAGTATGTTGATAAGTAAACAGGAATTAAATTAATTGTCTTCACTCTATCATTCCTTGTAGATATTTATTCCAGTAAAAAATTGGAATCAAATTAGCGTTGAGCTTATGATGTCAGTGACATCAAACCACCAGAAATAGTATTCGAATTATACTAATTGGGAATCGCTTTGTAATGACATAAACATAGAGTCGCGTTCAACAAGTTTGGTCTTTATTGTTCTAATATGGATGCAAACTGTCCATAATCAGTTATTCAACATGTCTCGAATGTTTTAGGTTCCAAAAACTATGGAAGAAGATTAACAGATAGTCTTGTTAATCATTCTTCTGAAAGATATACAAACCAAGAATTATCAGGATTAGTCATGTGAATGCTTCAGTCTTCAGTCTTCAGTAATAAGGATAGAAGGTCTAGTGACCTATTTTAATCCTTGCAGTTTGTTACACTGTGGAGGTCCAATCTCGTCTTGAATATATCAACAGAAGGTGCTGATATTACGTGTTCTGGTAGAGAATTCCATGTGAATGCTTGAAAGCCAACCAATAAAACTAGATAATCAGATTCAGCTACCTTTTTTCTGATATTAGTTTTCAAACGTGTTGATTCTGCATCGTCAAAACACCGTTTATACAGTCAGTCTGTTTGCAGGATTCACTGATATGTTCTTACGATTCTGTCACCAGTTATAAATTCTATGTCTCTTTAGATTACCATGTGTCATGTTTACGAAGTTTAGAAACCCGTTCTACTTTGATGCAATGAAAATAAAGTCTTAAACCCAGTCGTCCAAAATTTGGATTCAAGCTCTCTGAACGTGGTGCCAAATGCTGCATATGATTGTTTCTAGTGTATCTTGCTCACGCCTAATATACTGTTTGATGCCGACTTGTGTATGTCTGGCCTCATCACTTTAATGGCTAAGATTCACTCATAAATAGAGCGAAAGTTATGCGGATACAAAAATAATTCTTTAGTCGTTATGAAGTAGGGTTTGACATAAATATACATATGGGATAACATTTATTTAACAAATCAGGTACTAATCTTTTTAGGTTAATATTTTGAGAACCATCTCAATTGACATCATCTGTTACTAAAATATCTCATGAATTTGTTGTTACGGTGTACTACTGTTAATCACCCTGTTGTTTCATGAATTTAGTTTCCTGTTTTGTCTTCTCGTTTATTCTGTGTCATCACACAACACATTCCTACCTTACGGTACTTATCTTTATCATATTCTTGTAGTGTTACCGTAGCATGGTGATTAGGATCGTCATACATCCAAACAAGGCTCTACTTTGATGATGACTGGTGACCAATGAATTGATCTTTCGTTTACTAAAATATGTGTCAATATCACCGTAAGAAAGCTTGTCAAATGAAGTTGAATATGAACAAAACGTTCAGCGTGTTTCATTCAGTTTCTTCTAGAAATAGTCTGTGTTTTTGTAACGACAAACTACTGACAACTAAATATAAAACCTGCAAAACCTACTATGATATTTTGAATACATGGAGTCAAGATTTGGAGAAATTCATTAATTTTCACTTAAATAAATAAAATGTTCCATAACAATAGGCATTGAACTCTATTAATATCCTGAATTGAGATAAACAGCCAAAACAAATCAACCTTTACGTTAATGTACGTGTGTGCATTTGGTCATGAGGTGTTAGTGATTCTCTTCGATTGCGTAGACATAAATAGGTGAAATAGAGTTGGAATGTGTGAGTTGTGGTTAAAATTCGAGTGTTTCAAACAATAACTTGCTAATTCATACATTATTACTTAATGGTGTACTAAAATTGCTGCTGTACTGATGTAATGGTAAAATTCATCAATAAAGTAACGGATCCGTTTAGCTTTGATAAATTACGGTCGTCAATGTCATAAAGTTACTTGTGTTTTTTTTACAGTAAATGGTCTTCTTTTGGAGTAACCTGCACTCCTTGTGGATGACTCTTCAATGTAGACCTTTCCGCCAGTCCTCTCTGCGTATTTTTACAAAATTAAAGTGCTAAAGACTAGCCAATAAGTATTCGCACCAGTTTTGCATATTGATTAGTTTTTTAAATACGCCAACAAAATAAAGACAGGATATTTCAAGCTTTGTCTGACTAAACTTCACAGATGTGCCTCTTCTGCCAGACTTTTATTTCAATGTATGCGTATCCCATATCTTTAAAGGCACCTATATTTGTTTTGTGTTTAAAATTTGCTGATAAGATCAGTATTTTTCCTTGTTAGATAAAACTAGTTAGCGCAATTTCTTTTTAATGAATGCTGAAAATGTCTTCTGTGACAAAGTACCGTTCAAAATCCTTCCCGAACTTGTCTGTTTTGGGAGATTAACCAGTGATCATTACGTGCTCGCGTTCGTTACGTCTTCAGACAAAGTAATTTTTTCAACAAAGTTTTCATTTTTAATCATTGTTTCTGAATTTAGTTATAATTAAAATTAATGAGATTCAACTCCTCTATTTCATCCATGGTTTTAGTCCGTTTATTAAGGTCGAATTATCAGGAGAATCGATCTATCATGAAATAACGTTACATAAGTAACCCATGTTCATGTTGTTCACAAGATCAATAGTTATGTATATAAAGATCTCTGCTTTGGGATTTTCTATATTTCGGAATCCTATTCTTCGGAATGACTACCAATCCCTAGCCCAATAACATTTTGAATATAAGGATACTCTGTTAACTAAAAAATCCAGCAATATTTACGATTAGATAGTAGCTGCACTTTCACGCGTAAACTTATGTTAGGCGTAAAGATCATGAAGTAAGAAGTTTCAAAGCACCTGTATAAGTAACCGTTTGGCGTTTTTCCCCATCGAAATATATTCCATTAGTAAGTGTGAATCAACTTCGTTTTTAACTCACAACTAAATATTTCATACATATAAATAACTAAAGTTACGGCAACTATTGAAAAAAGGAAATGGGCACATTATATATATATATAGTCTATTATGATTACAATCTGTAAAAATTAAAGTGAACTAAATTCATTTAAATTTTTAAAAATATCGGGATTCTTGGGATACAGTTAGTGCCAGTAGATAGCATATTAAATGAATATTCTCAGCCGAACAAAATGTTGATGGACTAAAGAAAACTAAGGATCATGATTACAGCTACATGTGGACATCAAAGTGTATGTTTCCAGGTGGGTAGACGGAGGTTATCGTGAAAAAGAATGGGGTAAAGCTAAATGTTATAATGTAATATTAGTAATAAAGTGAAGGACGTGTAAATTTTAGTGAGGAACATTCGGACGAAAGTTGTTGAGTTTACACTTACAAATGGATAGTCTGATCATATAGAGATTACCGAATAATATACATGATCCTATATGCTTACGGCTAATTATAAGTTCTAAAGTAGACGGCTTCATAATTTCATGTTTTTCTTTACTGAAACGTACTAGATGTGTTATCCAAAGGCATATTCATGGGAGAACAACCTGTGTTCATAATGGTACATTATGTGATACTATGGTCATGGTTAAACCAATGAAGTTAAAAGTAGCAAGTCCTAGATTTGATCGCAAATTCATTCATTCACATAGTCAAATGACATTCTGGATGTAAAGTGGATGCCAGTTAGTGATGAAAACCCTTACTTTAATTCATAACCTTTAATTCTGGCTCTAAATCATAATCCTGGTTCCTTATATTAATTTATAACTCTTTTGAAACTGGTAAATAAAATTATCTGAATGTCACTTTAGCATCGCTCGAAGGTTGTCCATAAATTATAGTTCTTCCTTGCATTAATAAAATGTTCCTGATAATTAGCAAGTAATCATTTCATTTTTGAAATGTGACTATCAAGTATGTTAACTAAACGAGGCAAAATTAGTTATTCAATATTAGTTTGATTTGTAATTGTAGATGATATATCATATATTCCTTTAGGTTTACATTTATAATCCAAAATTTTACCATTCTTCTGAAGGTATCACTAAAATCTCATCCCAAGGTTAGTACCAGTGTACTATTTTAAACAGTTTATTTGTACATCGTTTCTAATTTTATAGATTTTATTAAATGTAGTAGTATTCATTCAATATGTGCAATTCATACAGGAAAATTTGAGCATATTTCAAATCGAAATGATCTACTAATAATTGGATCAAAATATGGTGTTCTAATCTATGATCCAGTAAATAATGTGGATATATTTTGGAAAGAAGTAACTATCCATTCCCCTTTTTATAGCATAATTAATGATATAATGTTTAGTTAAAAAGTAATGGTGTAAACACAATTTTGTACAAACATTTTGATGAACGGTATAAACAGTATAAAGATACCGACATTATATTTATTGGGGGTCATTGTTCATTGATTGGATTGAATTATTCAGCGAAAGAATTATTTTGGACTGTAACTAGTGATAGAATAACTGCAATAACTTGTTTATCTTATGAAAACGATGAAGAATATCTCAATGATATTGTTGTTGGTTCTGAAGATTATACTATACGTATATTTCGTAATGAATTCATTATTCATGAAATATCAGAAACAGATGTTAGTAGTTTGTTTATCTATAAATGTGAATTTTTGCATACTTACTATAGATTTCATGAAAAACAAGTGATTAGGTTTATTAAGTTTATAGTATTTCCAAACATTTTAAAAAATCTTTGTTATCTATTCTGGACAAGAAGTTCTTTTACGTTATTTGTTGAACGTTCAGCAGTAGGCACATATAAATTAGGTCTTGAAAAAGAAAGATTTTTTTTAAACTACTACTTTACTTTACTTACGCCTGTTACCCCTCGTCGAGGAGCATAGGCCGCTCACCAGCATTCTCCATCCAACTCTGTCTTGAGCCTTCCTTTCCAGTTCTTTCCAGTTGCTATTCATCCTTTTCATATCGGCTTCTATTTCCCGGCGTAGTGTGTTCTTTGGCCTTTCTCTTTTCCGCTTCCCTTCCGGATTCCAAGTTAGGGATTGAGTCGTGATGCACATTGGTGATTTCCTTAATGTATGTCCGATCCACTTCCAACGTCTTTTCCTTATTTCCTCTTCAGCTGGAAGCTGGTTTGTCCTCTCCCATAAAGCGCTGTTGCTGATAGTATCCGGCCAATGGATGTTGAGTATTTTGCGTAGACAATTGTTTATAAATACTTGTACCTTCCTGATGATGGCCGTAGTAGTTCTCCACGTTTCAGCTCCATACAGTAGGACTGTCTTGACGTTCGTATTAAAGCTTCTGACCTTGAAATTGGTTGAGAGTTGTTTTGAGTTCCATATGTTCTTCAATTGTAGAAATGCTGCCTTTGCTTTTCCAATCCTCGCCTTTACATCTGCATCCGATCCCCCTTGTTTATCAACGATGCTCCCCAGGTACTTGAATGTTTCCACCTCTTCCAGAGTTTCGCCATCAAGTGTGATTGGGTCGGTGTTCTCCGTGTTGCATTTGAGAATCTTGCTTTTTCCTTTGTGAATGTGGAGGCCTATCGATGCGGAGGCTGCTGCTACATTTGCTGTCTTCATGTGCATTTGGTCGTGTGTATGAGAGAGGAGGGCTAGGTCATCTGCGAAGTCCAAATCATCTAATTGATTCTGAGAAGTCCATTGTATTCCGTATTTCCCTTCAGATGTCGAATTCGTCATAATCCAGTCAATCACTAGAAGGAAGAGAAATGGAGAGAGTAGACAGCCTTGTCTGACTCCGGTCCTTACTGGAAATGCATCTGTCAGCTGTCCTCCATGCACCACTTTGCACTGTAATCCATCGTATGAGTTTTGGATAATGTTGACGATCTTCTGAGGAACTCCATAGTGTCGAAGAAGTTTCCACAATGTTCTCCTATCCACGCTGTCAAACGCCTTCTCATAGTCGATGAAGTTGACGTATAGTGATGAGTTCCACTCGACTGATTGTTCAACGATGATCCGTAGTGTCGCAATCTGGTCTGTGCACGACCGATCCTTACGGAATCCAGCCTGATGATCCCTAAGTTCGGCGTCTACCGCGTCTTTCATCTGATTCAGCAGCACTCTGTTGAAAACTTTTCCTGGTACTGATAACAAACTGATGCCTCTGTAGTTCTCACATTGGCTCAGATCTCCTTTCTTTGGTATCTTGATGAGATATCCTTCTTTCCAGTCCGTTGGCACTTGTTCCTCTTCCCAAATCTTCTTGAATAGAAGGTGAAGCATGTTTGCAGTTATTTCAATGTCTGACTTCAGTGCTTCTGCTGGTATATTGTCAGGTCCTTTTTTAAACTAACAAGCAAATACTAAGTTGACTTGAAAGTTGGTTATGTTTTCAGCTTCAACCGACTTTCCTCGATACTTCGACGTTTTGAGTTCACTGCCAAAAGCGGACGTAGATTAGCACATTGAACTCAGAATAAATAAATCTATTTCAGTTAGTATACATGAAACTTTGTCTATATTTGATTGCATAGTTTCACAATATTTGGGCACTGAGTTGATGTGATACATTAAGGCGGAATAATGTATTTGTAAAATCATTCATTCGCTGAGATTTTGCAAATACATTTTTTCTGAATGTCTATTTCAGTTAGTATTTACTTAATTTTGAGGTTAAAAACTATTACTAATCAGGGTTTCACTGAATCTTTTTATGCTTAAATTGTTTCACAATCTACAATTTTCTAACTTATTACACAAAAGAGTAACAAAATAAGTTTGGGGTCTGATTGAAAACCATAACTGAAGATTTATATTACAAGGTAACTCAATAAGATAATCTCTAAATTCGGAGTGTAGCGAATTATCTATTTCTAATAGACAGCTAGCCAAATAAATGTTTTCATTAAGGAATAAACTTTATACTATGAATAAATCTTATACTGTAATAGTTGTCCACTCTGGGCTGCTGAATAACAGAGTTTATTGTTCTTTGGCATGACTAAGTTACTTACTTTTTCTGTAAATATTTTTTAAACAGGCAGTAATAAAACTTATTTCACTTGGTGGTGAGTATTTTGGTTATGGTTTGAGAAATGGTACTATCGGTGTATACAATAGAGTGAATCGTGTATGGCGTATTAAAGTAAGTGGCTCAAGTATTAAGTGATAGAATCTCTTATCAGATATTATGGTCAAAGTATATTTTACAGCAGCATTGTAATAACTTGTATTGACTTAATGACTACCCTTTTCTTTAAAAAGTGTTTTTCATAACTCAACTGATGATTAACGAAATTTATTTGGATTCAAAAAATTGTGAAAAAGTACATAAATAATTGTGTAGCATCTAGCTGTTAATGAAATCCGGCTTTTTCCCTTCAAACAAATTTCCGTCTAAAATTACATCTTATTCTCATTTTCTGAAAATCCTTTTCAGTAACTAAGAATAAAGTCTGTGTCAAGAATCATGTTTTTAGTTCGTGTAATTTGAATTTGAGTAATAACAGGTAGTAAATAAACCATTGTAGTCGGTTTTGAAAATCTGTTTAGTTAAAATACTTATAATGCTCACTTATGTAATCCATGTTTAGAAGAGGATTAAAATCCACTGCATTTCCTTTGAAATGGTGTCACCAAGTCAGAAGTGATTGTTTTGGGTATATATATATATATATATATATATATATATATATATATATAGCTCAGGTAGATGAAGCGTGTGTTAATGATTTCTCTCAGAAGAACAAGAAAATCTCCACTACTAAACTGACCAGCTCAGAGAACGAATCTACATCAAAAACTTTATAAATCTCGTGTACATGTTTTATTACTTTAAATTAAACAGTAGTTTAACAATCAGATACATCATTTCATGTTGACCATTTTTTACTTATTTAAGTCAAAAAACAAACCTATCTGCTTTGTCAGTCATGATATAAATTACGATGGATATCCAGAACTAATTTGTGGTTGGAACAATGGAAAAGTAAGTCTTTTATCTACTCATCATCATATCTCAACTTTTACGACTAATGAATCTGTTTTAGTTAATTATATTTTTAAACGCTATTTTTAAGCTGATTTCCATCATAGTACTTGATAAGGCTTTGCAACAGAATCAAGCATACACTTTTTGTTGTATTCAAGACTCATCACCAAGACTAAATCACATTTTATTAATTATTAGCTTTTAGAATATGAAGCGAACCATATATATAATTTTAAACGGTATTATTTTATTTATTCAATTTAGGTTATAAAAGTTATGAACGATATCTCTAGAAGGTTTTGTATATTAGAAAAGTTTACTTTTACACCTGCTTCCGTCTAGTTAGATACATGTGTTAGGGCTCCGTTGTCAAACGTGAGTGGAAACTGAATGAATAAGTAAAAGAATCAATCTTCAATACAAGTCCAACATCTCTAAAATATTGATACAGCCACCAAATTATTTTTATAAACTGCTATCAATTGCCACGAATTTTTCAAAGGTGACTAAAGGCACTAAATAATGAGTTTGCTAAAAATTTCAGTTAACGATACAGAATCATGGAGATCCATGTTAATTCTACCTATTTGAAGCTGAACAGTGAGATTAGAAGATGAAACTAATTGTTCTGGGCATATATTTCTCAGAAGTCAAATGTTTGTACAGTTAGGAAAATAATTTTATTCTTCTTCCCATCCATTTGAAGCACTAATTCAGTTTTAAGAAAATGATAGTGAATAGGGACTTTTTAAAAAGAGATATCTAATAGATCATTCAATTCTAATGATTTACTAAACTTTGTATCATTACAATGCTTGTCTTACGAAAAGCATTTTAAAGCCCAACATTCTTTCATTCAAGTCAGTAGCCTCAGTAAAAAACTGTATAGCTATCAATTTGATATAATAATGTATAACGTGAAACACAATTTATCTGTTTATTCAATTCAAATTTATACTATATTATTTTCCAAATATAAAAATTCATTGTTGAAAAATAATAATTTCCAAGTTGTCGAATAAACATATGACTTAGTCCTTTTGTGAAGTTGACCATATTAGCCTAATAGTTTTTGAGGTAGCTTTGGTTATATGTTTTGTGTGTATAGTAAGTGAAATAAAAGGTAGTTCTATTGTGTAGCATAACAGAAATAGGCTAACTGTCATATTCAACTCTAGAGATCAGCCAGTTAAATTAACTTAATAAGGTAAATAATGTTTTTATTTAAAGAGAAAATATTGTTTGTAATCTAGTTTATCAATCATTACAATCTATCTATCAATGTTTTATTTTACATAATTTTAGGTAGATGCTCGTTTGCGTTCTAATGGAGTAGTTGTATTTAAAATTCAACTAGATGATTGTGTCGCTGGTATGACAGTGGTAAATAATTCACTTATGTTATTAGCTTAAAGATTTTATTTTCTAAATTCTATCTCAGTATAGTTACTTGATTCAGTATTTCAAATGGGTGATCGACTTTTAACCAATGAATGGACGAGAAGCAGTTTTTTAGACTCATAGTAATCATCGATGAAAATTGAAATTTCACTGATGAATAACTCCATTTAAACTGCTCAATTCTACGAATTCATGAATAATAAATGTAAAACTGCAGCAAATTGTAAATTACTATCACTACTTTATTAAACATACAAATAGACTATAACTGTTATATCTGAAGCGTTTCGAATTCACTAGTTAACGAACGGAACAAAGACTTGTGACCAGAGACCGATAAGCTAGCTATTCTGACGCGACCCAGACCCAGCTAACTAGAGTAAGAAGTCCAAGTTGGAAGCGAGGGAAATTTATTCCGTAGCAGCCAGAAGCACAGCAATCATAAGAGGAAAAAAGTCAAACGTATATATACATCAACAAATTGTCCTTGCGCATCATTAAAAAATTACACACTCAAAGAAACAATGGAACAATAGCGTTTAAGATAGTTTACAAGTGGGAAATATGACGTGAAGGTGAAAAAAGCGCCTTTGACGCGAAAACAGCTAAATTCAAATTTTTAAAGTAAAATTACAAAATCAAGCCATTTATCAAGTAAGTTCTGGGGATTTGACATTCCCAACAATGATAAACCAAGTCCTAAAACCACTAAAATAATGACTAAATTGATTTGAATAACACACTAGAGATCTTTCTGAGTCAGAAAGTTGTCTTGGTTATTCAGAAACATTCAAATATGAATAATATATATGGTTTTCCACTAGTAGCCCTTCTAGGGTCACTACAGGTTTCGATCCCGGTAAAGGATGAGAGTTGGGCGTGGAGCTAGCAACCCTAACTCGTAGAAAAAACCTTACAACTTCTGTCACGGTAAATGGACTGCAGTAGCGTTTCCTTATTATCGAAAGCCTATAATTTAATCCCATGTCTACTGGGTTCACGATAATAGCTGATGATTAGACGAATTATTAAGCGATTAACTGGTATTATAATTGAATGTCTCACCTAGGACGGTAAACTAGCCCTATATAGACGTTCACTAACTCTTATCACTCCGTTCATGAATTTGGACTTTTAAAAACGTAAAGAACTGGTAGACTTATACAGCATTTTCGAACCTATATATTGGTTCTTTGCTTTCTCATTGATTGTAATTGAATTAACTAGAGCTAGCTTCATTTCTTTATTATAATACCCCTTCCGTGCTAGTCAAATAATACCAAGTACCTCGAAATTCTTTGTTTCATAAGAGATAGTGAAATTCTTGTTTTATGACTATACTACAGATTAGTAATCAGTGTTCATCCTTTTTTTGTGCTTCCTTGGCTAAATTAATTATCGACAAGCTGACTATGCTCATGGTGGTTGAAGCGTATTTTGTTTAGACAGCTGTTTTGAACCTGTCGTTTTTATGTTTGACTGCTTTGAGATTTACTGTAGTTATCTTATCACCTTGATTATAAGCTTAACTTTAATCGTGATTTATTGTAAAACAACGTATATTAGTGTTTGTCTTTCAAATTATTTTTCCAGGTTAGAGTTTTTAGCAAAGTTTTTTTTACAGGTTGGAGTTTCTGACTCCACTCCCAACTCTCATCCTTTACCGGGATCGAAACCGGTAGTGACCCTAGAAGAGCTACTAGTGGAAAACCATATATATTATTCATATTTGAATGTTTCCGAATAACCAAGACAACTTTCTGACTCAGAAAGATCTTTGGTGTTTTATTCGATTGAAATGGAATGGTATTTAGTCAAGTTTCACCGTGTAGCTTAGCTTGTAGCTTTCTGTTAGGATGAAACCTCTTATTTGAATCATGATCTTTGTCTGCTTGTAAGCCGTAAATATAATGACGATTTCTTTATATCTTTTTTTATTCATTCAAACTACGTCATAATTGTATTACTAAAGAACGCTTATTTTTTGGCAAATAGTTTTTGTCGTGTTCACTTTCCTACAATTATTCAAACAAGTTAAATGCTAACTTTCATCGTAATTATCTTTTTTTTCATTCCTTTTCTTTGGAAACTCACCGCTTTTTATTTCGTGGGTTACTTCTCAAAAATGAAGCTTATATTACAATAGTCAGACATATTTAGTTGTATTAGAAATTTCTTACTTTTCGTTTTGTGTATTTCAGGGTGATTACTATGGTTTTACCGATGTATTGCTTGTTTGTACCATTGAAGGTGATAGTAAGTTCAAATTTTTGTTCTACTTTTTTCTGTGTTAAAATATTGATTTTATTTATGAATGTAGACATTATTAATATAAAAGTTTTTATATAGCCGATAAATTCCACTGTTTAATGTGATCATGACTGTAAAGAAAATTGGAGTCCCGTGTGCGGGATCGTGGATGTCTACTGCTGAGGAGTCTCATACTAGGGTGAAACGGCCGTCCACAGCTTTCAGGTTTTCAATGGTGGCCTAACATTCATTGATTCATGATCTCAATCCAAAATACCATTTTAATTAAAATTTAAAACATAGTGGATTTCTGGTTAAGTCATAAATTGGGGACGTAGTTTTCTATAGTCAAAGCCAAGCAGCTGGATATATCATAAATGAAGTTTTTCGGTCGAATTTAATGGAATTATGTATATTATGGGACACCACTGAGAAAATATTCTGTTTTCTATAACGATCTTATATTATGTTGAACCATTATTTTTCCTAAAAGACAAATCAGTTATTGCTTAAGTCCAACAATATTATGTATGCTTGCACTGTATATATCTTTTTATTTCTATAAATGATTTCGTGTATCGTTTTTCTACATATTTTAGTACGTTGTTATTCTTTACGTCGATCGAAGAATGAGTTTAATTCAGAATCATCTGAAGATGCTTTACGTCATTTAATCACTAAAAGACAGGTGAACATAAATAGTAACTACTATGTATAGTATTATTTTTTATTAAATTTTATTTCATTAAGTTGCCAAATACGATCTCTTTGGTATACTATTTTAGAAAAAAATTGAGATGACCAGTTATCTCTACAATAAATCATTCTCTTTTGGCATATATGCATCCCGTGCGGATTTCCTCAATGTTCCCATTACGTCATAAGCATTATAAGCAGAGTTGGGTAGTGGTTAGCCGTGGAATCCAGGACGTGCATTTCATCAGCTGGATATACCTGAATTCCAAAGTTGACGAATTGAAATTTACTTTAATACACAAGCCAGTGGTTATCTGGAATCAGTAGCTAAGTAAATAATGCAATGGGATTTGAAGCAGACGGTACTAGGTTCGAGTTTAGGAGTGAACATCAGCTATGGAATATAGATACATCCAACTAAATTCTCATCTGTTTAAGTTGATGTTTTATTTCGGCAACTGCTTTTATAAAAGTTGAAATATTGTTTCTTCGGATTATCTCTTTAAACGGGAAACTTAAATTATAAATTAACTCTTACAAACTAATCTTGTTTCTGGTACACATTCCTAAAGATCGATTAAATTAATTACTAAAGAATGTTTCATACATAAGATATTCCTAACAACGCCTATTCATGTTCATACCTACTAGGAAGTTAATAACTATCGTTCGAAAACTATCGTGTTACCACACCTTTATCAGCTAGTGTTTAAATGAGTTTTCAGGACTGGTACAAACTGTTATGATTTTGATTATACTGAAGATTTTATATGTTTTAGATGACATTTATTTTTTGTGCTTCATTATGCACAAAAATTTTAATTTTTCATTTCGGAAGTAGTTACTTGTCCGACAATTTTACGACAACAAGTGTACCTTTTCTGCTGACAGTCATTTCACTTTTTATTCCTAAAGTACAAATATACTTCAACTGATTTTGAGATTATATGAGTTTATCATTAAGGCAATCATTCAGTTAAGTTCTGACTGCTTAAGGATACGATTAAAAGCCGCTAACACGTATAAACGATTTTTTATTATGATAGCAATTATTTCACTTTACTCCGTTTTAGAATATCTCTGAAAAAGGGATATCTAATATTTTATTCATATTTTGCTTATTGGCGTTAATTGGTAATAAATCTTGGTTGGGAAACACTCAATTATTGTGTAGGATGAATTAATATTTAGTATGAACGAAATTTTTTTGTGTTGCTTGAATTATTATCGACTAACATCACTGACGTTTGAACTTAGTACAGGAAATATTATTTAGCTGCACTAAAATAAACTCTTATCACAGTTCACAACTAGGCTATTGAATCATTCAATCGTTATGTAAGAAGACACCATAAAGTCATGTATTTTTCTTTTGTGTTTAGTTATATACGTCTAAATATGTTTATTGTATTCAACGAACATAAGATTACTTTCAATCAGAAAATATATTGGACCAGATCCATGTTATATCTTGTGGCCGAGTGGATGGCTTGCTAATGTGTGACGCGATAGACCGCCAATTAGGGAGCAGCGGATTATCGGTTGGAACAGTGACACACGAAACCCGTACGAGCAGCCTAGAGTGCTAACCGGTCCTGCTATACGCCTAGCCCAGCCAGTTGAGTCCAGAACACAAATAACAGCCTCGGCAATATGAATCATTATTTACAAACATAATGGGTTTTTATACAAACCAAAATAATCAATAACTGAGTATAACTCAAGAATCGTATGATAATAAATCAAAGATCAAAATAAAGCTCATGATAAGAGAAACACAAATATGAATCGTTTAGTTACGTAACAATTGTACAATACGCATAATACATTGGTCGATAAATAGTCCTTGGAGTTACCATTCATAATTCACCAGGGGATATAACACCTCCCCTTTTTTTGAAGCATCATGGATAATAGCGATCCTTGGGGTTTATTTTTATACGATTAGATTTCCGCCTGATGCGCTGCGACCGCCTTGGGAGTGTTGTACACGTCTTCTTTTTATTCAGGTCTTTTTTAATTTCATTATCCGACTCGGTTAATATATTTAATGGTATATCATGCTTTCTATCACTTTCTATCTCCCACTCCTGTCTGGTCGGCTGTATCTGGTTTGCATGTCGTACCCATATCTTTTGTCCAACTTTCACTTCATAAATAACTTTCCCTTTTCTTCGGACTATGATGCCAAATTTCCAGGTTGGCTTAACTCCCTGATAATCTCTTGCCATTACTGCTTGTCCCACATTAAACCTTCTGGGTAGGGCACCATGCCTTTTGTTAAATTGCAGTTCCATTCGTTTATTCTTGCATTGAATGATTTCAGGTTTTGGCTTCATTTGTTCCATAGGTATTCTAATCTTTCTTCCGAAAATTACTTCTGCCGGGCTTTCTTGATTATTTGTTGCTGGGTTGGGAGTTGCGCGGTAGCTTAGTAAAAATAGTTGAATTATATCCTCTATTTCTCCTTCCCCTTCGGCTTTAAGCAATGCTCTTTTAAAAGTGTCCACGAACCTTTCGACTAACCCGTTAGACTGTGGATGGTATGGGGGTGTCTTGATATGCTTAATGGCATTGGCAATGCAGAACCTCGAAAATTCAGCAGAGGTAAACTGTGGTCCATTGTCTGACACTAATATATCTGGACACCCAAAACAACTGAATACTTGCCTCAGTTTCTTCATCGTAGCTTGTGTTGAGACATATTTCATATAGTGGACTTCTGGCCACTTAGAGAAAGCATCAATGATTATCAAGAACTGTTTACCGTTTATAGGACCGGCGAAATCTACATGAACTCTTGACCACGGATTTGACGGTGTTCCCCAACTCTGCATTTCGGTCTTGCGAGGCGCTTTCATGGCTTTTGCACATGCTGAACATTTCGCAACATATTCTTCAATCTGCGTATCAATATTCGGCCAATATACATAACCGCGTGCAAGTGCTTTCATCCGCGCTACCCCTGGATGTGCAGCATGCAGTTCTAACATCACTTTCCGACGTAGGCTTGTGGGTACAATAACTCGATTTCCAAACATTAGGCACCCGTCCACGAGCGATAGAGAATTTCGTCGGTGAGCATACTGTTCAATGTTTTTGTTGTCTATATGAGCAGGCCAACCATGTTCAAGGTAACTTATAATCCGTTTCAGCTCGCCATCTTCTTGAGTGTAGCGTCTAATATCTTCAGCGGATAATGGTGTTGCTTTTATAGCAACTTGTAGTATTTGGTGGATATCTTCTTCCAATGATATCGTTGCAATAATAGAATCTTCGCTTTCCTGCTTCTGATTCGCAATTAATCGAGATAAAACATCAGCTTGTCCAAACCTTTCAGTTGATTTACATAGAATTCGGAAATCATAAGCAAGTAGTGTAATAGCCCAGCGTTGTAATCGATTAGCTGTATATGCAGGAATACCTGACTTCGATCCAAATATAGATAAAAGCGGCTTGTGATCTGTTAGAAGAGTAAATCGACGTCCATAAATCATTTTATGAAATTTTTTTACTGCAAAAACTATAGCTAATCCTTCTTTTTCAATCTGACTATATTTTCGTTCAGCTGGGTTAAGTGTTCGGGATACATGAGCAATCGGCTTTTCTTTACCATCAGGAAAACGATGACTGATAACAGCCCCAATTCCATAGTTGGAAGCATCAGCGGCAACAATTATTTCAAGATTAGGATTGTAATGTGTCAACAATAATTTAGAAGATAAAATCCTTTTTATTTCGTCGAAAGAATGTTAGCATTCTTTTGTCCAGTGCCATTTTGCATTAGCCATCAAAAGTTGATTTAACGGGTGTCTCAATTTATACATCTGGGGTACGAACATACTATAATATCCAATCATCCCCAAGAATGAACGGAGAGTTGTAACATCAGTTGGTGTGGGCATATTTTTGATGGCATTTATATTATCTGGATCTGGCCGGCGACCATCTTTATCAAATATATATCCAAGATATTTAACAGAATCCAGCATAAATTGACACTTTTCTTTTTGTAATTGAAAACCGGCTTGCGATATTCTATTAAGCACTACGTCTAACCGACTCATCAGTTCGTGAGCAGAAGAGGCAACAACTATAATATCGTCCAAATAAACTGCCACACCTTCAAGGTTAGACAACATGGTATCCATAATCTGTTGGAAAATTGCTGGAGCTGGTTTTACGCCAAAAGGTAATCGGCTAAACTGGTAAAGTTCACGGTGGGTATTAATGGTTAATAACTCCCTCGAATCTTCGTCAACTTCTACTTGTAAGTAAGCTTCAGATAGATCGAGTTTGGAAAAGTAACGTCCACCGTTTAGTTTAATAAATAAATCTTCTGGCAAGGGAAGTGGATATGAGTGGCTTTGCTAAGCATCGTTTAATCCTGTTGAAAAGTCTGCACACAGGCGAATAGTTCCGTTTGCTTTCTGCACTACTACTATTGGTGCTGCCCATGCTGAATAATTAACCGGTTGTATAACACCCAGTTTCTCTAATCGATCTAATTCCTTGTCAACTTTATCGGTGGCTGCATACGGGACTTGGCGTTTTGGACAAAAAACAGGTTTTACGCCCTGTCGTAAATATAACTTTGCCTTTCCAATGGTACAGCATCCCAATTTATTCTGGAACAACTTCTTGTGTTTCTGTAAGAGGTCTTCTATCGTTATGGCTTTCTTAGCTACATGAACCATGGGTAGATCTCTGGGACTATTTGTGCACTTCATCATGCATATTTCACTCAATGGTACATCCCATAGGTTTAGTTTATCTATCCAATTTATTCCAATAAGGTCTAAGTCATGCCTGTTCGTTAAATAGCAATTCCCTGTGAAGTAGTTATCTCGAAATTCAACAGAGCATTTTATAATTCCAACAAGCTTTAATATATCTCCGGATGCATTTCGTGCAGTATGCTCAGTAGGTAATACTTGTGGACAACCAATTAAATTCCATGTTCGTTTAGAGATCAATGTGACATCTGAAGCTGTATCCAATTGTAATCGGACATGAACACCATTAACCACTAATTCCACATACCTTCTTTTATCTGCCATACTTAGAGCCCGTGTAGAATATATACTGTTAATATATTTGTTTTGAAACTGGTGAGGACGCTTCGTCGGCTTTGATCTCAAATTTTCTCTAGTCCGGAAAACTGATTCTTTATGACCAAGTTTATTGCACACCGTGCATCTATGATTTCTAAATCTGCAAAATCTTGAGAAGTGCCATGCGCCACAATACCAACATTTCGTCGAAGGTTTAGGAATTTTCGTGTGATGTTTATAGCTTTTGGCACTTTTTTGTCGTTGACTCGTCTTAACAGCATGGACAGAATGATTAGATGGTGCAGAACTTTTGGTTTCTAACATAGCCGAATCCTCTTTCAAGTTTATTAATCGTTGACACTCACCAGTAACAGTTTGTAGCGTCATTTCTTCGTCATGTTCCATACGAGATAATAACTTCATGCGAACATCAGCATCGCTGGGAGAATTCAGACCAGAAATAAATAATAAGCATTTAAATTGATCACTGGTTAACACATTTAATTTAAATCGTTCCGCTTGTACATTTACTCTTCCGGCATACGTAGTATAATCCTCATCAGCTTCTCTAGTCAGTTGTAGACAATTATACCGGATACGAAATAGAGACATCTGTTCACCGAACATTTTATTTAAAATGTTAACAGTTTCATCGAAACTAATCTCTCGTGGATGCTTAGGCAGGATATGGTTTTTATACTTCTGATGCTCATTAGGACCAAGCTTCTGTAAAAGCAACCGGACTTTCTTTGCGTCCACCATAGCAGCAAATTCTACTCGAAAAATATCTTCAATTCTGCCAAACCAGGCTTCAAAAGTGTAACCGCTGTCTGCATCGAAAATAAATTCTGGAATTGGATTAAGATGTGGCTCTATGCTTTTAAGTTCTGGAATATCTTGTTGAATAGACATTTTTGCCAAAAGTGCTTCCATGAGTTGTTGTTGAGAAGCTAACATCTGCTGCTGCTGCTGTATTATTAACTGCAACTGTTCTTGAGAAATTGACATTTTTTTAACGCGAATAATAATAATAATAAATCCAAAATACACCGGCAAATATTATGGATTATTTAATTCCAAAATGACGTCACCGACTGCTGTATTTCTTTTTCCAGAATCACGTCCCAATTCTTGTATTTTTTTACCGAAATCCCCGTCGCCAATTTGTTATATCATGTGGCCGAGTGGATGGCTTGCTAATGTGTGACGCGATAGACCGCCAATTAGGGAGCAGCGGATTATCGGTTGGAACAGTGACACACGAAACCCGTACGAGCAGCCTAGAGTGCTAACCGGTCCTGCTATACGCCTAGCCCAGCCAGTTGAGTCCAGAACACAAATAACAGCCTCGGCAATATGAATCATTATTTACAAACATAATGGGTTTTTATACAAACCAAAATAATCAATAACTGAGTATAACTCAAGAATCGTATGATAATAAATCAAAGATCAAAATAAAGCTCATGATAAGAGAAACACAAATATGAATCGTTTAGTTACGTAACAATTGTACAATACGCATAATACATTGGTCGATAAATAGTCCTTGGAGTTACCATTCATAATTCACCAGGGGATATAACAATCCACACTATTTTTATAACTGAACTTAAAATATACTGATCTGTCGACTTTGCATGCCGTTAGAAATTAAAATTAGATACTGAGTATTACTAGACAATTAGTTCGTGAATCAATTTAACGGTTACGGATCCAATGACTTTGGTATCGAATAATCAGATGTGTGAAATTTGATTATGTTACTATTTTAATAGTTGAGATCATGAATCAATTGAAACTAGACCACCATAGAAAACCTGGAAGCACAAAAAGGCCTTCCAGTGCTTCCAGGTTTTCCATGGTGGTCTAGTTTCAATTGATTCATGATCTCAACTATTAAAATTACTATAATATCCACAAAACCCCTACTGATAATATGTCACTAATGTCACTTGAGTAGATAATTTCAATTGTTAAAATAAGTGTTTCGTTATTTTTTTTAACTTATACCATGGATACAACCTATTTTTATACTATTCAAAGTTTTGTCATTTTTTAAAAACAAAAACAGAATTTATTATTGGAGATTCAAAGTATCGATCAAAATAGCAATTTATCCCAGTGGAGTAAGAATGATGTTCGTCAAGCAAACCTTAATATCATTAAAGTAAATATATATATTTCTTTCTTTCTGTTTTATGATTTAGATTCATATTGACAACTATTTCATATTTTTACAACTAGAAATTGTGGTTTTTTTCAAAATCGGACCTTTGCTACTCATAAATAAGACAGTAGACATTCGAAAGTTAGTTGTTAACACTTAGTTCTTACATGTTCATCATAGTTTATAAATATTAGTTTTATAGCCAATATACAACTCATAGAATTGTTGGTGTTCGATAAAGTAATATACTCCTCGGTTATTGGTTTTTGTTTTCTATACTACTAAATGGAGATAAGTAATCATTAAACAATCTCTGTATTAGATTTGTAGCATTTACTAACGGACATATAATTTTGTTTCATCACTGGGTGCTTAGTGATAATGGTTACTGAATAAATTTCAAAGTTTAGTCACTGTTAGTCATACCTCTAGTCTGTCAGTATTCTGTAATTTGAAAGTTTTGACGAAAGATATGACAGCGTTTTGTGGTATCAGTCTTATCAGTCGACTCGAACATAAGATCCAAAAAAAAGTGATATCAGAATAGCAAACAGTTGAAAAAGCACACGGAATGTGTTTCAGTCTTTACAAAATGTTTAAACAATATTATTTATTGGTTCACAGATATAAATACAACACAATTGAGGAATCAAAACGTGAGGCGAGATGAATAAATAACCTTAATTGTCTCTTGATTTAAACTTTATTTACATAAACCAATGAAACGAATTGAGTGGTATAGTTTGCACTTGGTTTTACCTAGATTTTTACATGTACTTGTACTTAAACAACAAGATACTGTTTGGATTCGATTTTGATATCTAAATTATTTTTAGCTGACGGACTGATGTAAATAAAAACTATTATTCTACTACCTAATATTTAGATTATTGTGATTACGCATGGGAAAACAAGCCAGTTTACATGGATAAAACAACCAGTTCGTGGTTATTTATTATAGATTAAGCTTTTTTTGTGAGGAAAACTTTCGACCTGTCCAAGTTTAGTTTCATATTCATTTAGTTGCTTCTAATAAACGTTACCTTTGTTCTATTGAGAGAATAATGTAGTGTCTGATATTTCAGACACATATCCTCTTTATGACATCCTGAGTTTATTCTGTCATTCTACTTATAAGCATATATCTTCATCTAAGTTGATTCATTACGTCTTGTGTAGAAACCAACATTTTCGGAAATTTGATCTTTAAGTTCATACTCATTTAATAATCGGTAAATTTCCGAGTTAATACAATAAAACTTAGTTTATTTTAGACTCAAATAATTTCTAAGCTGTTTTTCTAAAATTAATGGGAATATGTTAGTGTTATATTATAACACTGATTAATATTGATAAAAGTTAAAAGTCATGTTTACTTGGGAAATAGTACCATTGACTAAAGAAATAAATTTGTTTATTTTAATTAGATAACTGTCAAAATGAGATTGAAACGAAACTTTGTCTGTCATGGACAGTTCTTTAAGAAATAAATAATGACATGTTTCTTACCAAACATGTTTTAAATTTTCCCATGAAAATTTTTGAGGATATATAATTGAACTACTTGTTTTTTTTACAGGCTAATACAGAATTACAGACTAAACTGGAAGTTTCTCCTGATAAACCATGTGTTAATTTGACAATTCAAACAAATGATGGTAAGTTAACTCATAAATATCGTGGAATTTAACATCTTTAAATATTGTTTTCTCCATAAACGTACCTCAGCTGGCGAAACAGTTGTTTCGTAAATGTTCAGAACTCTTCATCCGCGCACCACCTCAAAATCTTACGGAGTGCACAATGCATTCAGACCATCGCGTAGTGAAATAGCGTGATAGTTGTCCGATATCGACCATCTCACTTTAAGCATGTCTGAACTCCTCCATAACTACAAATTAGCTTGTTTGTAGAAGCTATTGTTTGTAGATTGATTCAAGTATACAATAATGAAAGGTGAATATTTCACAGTATAAAATAATGAACATTAAAAAAACCATTTTTATGCAAAATTATTCACTCGTTACAATCTGAAGTTTTGACTTGGGTATATCGAATTCCGCCAGATGAAGATGAAAAATGTCTTATTTACAAAGATAGTTTTTCCTTGAATACACTTAGTGTTACATAATCTTTAGGGTTCTATAAATAAATGCATACATAACTTTTCTTAGAACTAATAATTAGAAATTAGCAAATAATTTTCAATATTCCTCCCAATTACAAGTTTCATCATGATACATAATAAGTTAGCTTCATCATAAATAGCAAACTAACCATTACTACATTTGACTTATATATTTTAAGAAGAATGAAATTCGTAATAAACAGTTTTCATTTATTAGTGTTGATAATTACCCTGGAGTACATACTAAGTGAGGAAGTACCCACTACTGTAATTGATACTTTAACTGAGGTTAATGAAAGTAAATTCTACTATTAGTAAATATTTATCATATTTATTTTAGGTACACTTTTAAGATGTATAGTATTGTTTGCTGAAGGTATTTTCAAAGACGAAAGTCATGTTATGTAAGTTAATAATTTGTATGGACAATGAAATATTTTTATCATCAAATGATACCTGAAAAATCCTAATAAATTTATTACGTTTTACTTCATAACATGTACCTGCTTCAGTTTGGGCACCTAGGCCGTATCACAGCCCTCACACAAATGAAATGAGATTTGTGCTGCGCATATATATCTGGTGCCCCCTTGTACCAATATTTATGTGTTTAAATAATAAAAAATAAATCATAACATGCAACATTTGGTATCTTATACTCTTCCAAATATTCTTGCAACAATCAGCTATTACAAAAGTTCAGTAGTCTGAAAATGAAGTTGTCAACTTTTTTAATGTTCTGTTCTTAGATCTAAATAAATTATTTTTGAGTAATTTAATTTACCATTAGTCTCTAAAAATGTGGAATACTACTCATTAACTTACCTTCACGAAACCCCCTTCTGATAATGATCATATGCTCATTAGTGACTGGCTCCATGAGATATTTCTTGGAGTTCTAGTGAGAAGCAGTAACCAGTGGAGTTCAACCAGGCCTAGTGTGAGATATCAACTTACTGAAGACATTGATGAATGGTTGCTCAATTGCGTGGATTGGTTGAAGTTAGACGTAAACACTGTTGAATGCCGGCTCAGTGGTCTAGTGGTTAAGCACTCGTACGCGAGACTGATAGGTCCTGGGTTCGAATATTGCGAGGCGGGTTTGTGGATGCACACTGCTGAGGATTCCCACAATAGGACGAAACGGCCGTCCGGTGCTTCCAGGTTTTCGATGGTGGTCCAGCTTCAATTGACTCATGATCTCAACTGTATATATTGTATCACAGTATTTTAATACTTATTTTCATCAAAAACAGAAAATTCAAATAAATTTCATGGAGAATAAACCAACTGCTAAGTTTTATTATTATTCGCTTTAATCGATATTATACTTTTGGTGTAAAGTATTTCAATAAATTAGCGTTTTTTACTTCTTGGTCGATCCTGACGATAATTACTGAGTGGTCGCCAGTTAGAAGTCAGCAGTCCAGGAATCGATACTTGAGTAATGTAGATTATTTTCTCTGTATACTGATAGAGACCACGATGTCTCTAATTGGTCTTTTTTACAAACTGTACAGCGGAAGGTTGTAAACTTTCCATAAACGCATCTGAATAAGTTATGCGATTAATAGCCATAATGATGTGTTAAAACAAGCAAAAATAGGTAACTTGTTGAAATAACTAGAGTGCAGAAACAGGTAGCCCAGATATTCAAGCATACCGCCAATTTTAATTTATTTATAGAATCTTTAAGGTATAAGAATAAAATATGGGATATTTTTAATATCATTCAAAATTAATGTACTAAGTATCAATATATAATAATAGTCTTAACTTACAAACATAGTTCTCCATAGTAAACAACTATAGGTAAATTATCAGTAAAGTTGAAAACCGATAAAGGATTTCACTGTGCTGTACACTTTCATTAATTTGAAACTGAAAATTCATGGTAAAGAAGAATTCTTGTGTATTGAAAAGCAGACATTACTAATAGGAAATTGAACATTGAAGTTAATTTCAAACTGTTCAATATATAACGATTTCATTGGTTGAAAACAACTCATTTAAGTCTGTTTCACAGTGTTGTTAATAGTCATTTAAACATCGTCAATATAGATCTGGCTGAATATATACAGATTCATTTTAATGAACCTGAATTAGACACTAGGAAAAAGGAAAATAAATTGTCTAAAATAACAGAAATATAATTAATATCAAATTCATGGAATAGCTAATTGCGATAAATAAAGTTCAGTAGGAACAATTAAAATGGGACAAAGATTGATATAATGGCACTGAACTCAAGATTTTAAGAATGATTATAAGAGCATTTAAATTTGAGTTGTCTATTCAGGGTCTTGAACTATCTATTATGATTATCTTGTATATCTCAGCTTTGAAATCTGTACTTACTGACGCGGCTAAAACAAACAATCCATAACTTCATGATTCAGTGAATTTTCTTGATTTGTTAGATGGGGATTTTTCCCACGACCGCCTCCTATTCCTATGACTGTTCGATAAGTACTCGTTATATATGAATAGCTTCTTTCTCAACCACCTTATTCAATGATGGTTTACGACCCAATAAGTTGGCTTGTTATATTTTCCTAGTACTATATTCCTAACTTCTCACTCGATGGTTTTACTGTATTCAAGGAGAGCTTTGAAGATACAGATGATTGATTGCTTGTAGATGCTATGTTTTCCACTTTTTTAGATCAGCTTAATCGGTCGTAGAATGATACAGAAATGAATGATGCACACTATTTCCATATGTACATTGATAAACGGATATCCTGCTAATGGCACAAGTTGGTAACATCCAAACAAGATTTATACTAATACCGATGTTTATTTTTGGAGCAGAATTTCTGTTGGTGAAGATGGATCTTACAATATAAAATAGACGGATTACAACTTGCACTAAAATCCAAGACGTACTTTTTGTTTTATTCGGGACTCGTACAGGTACATTCAGTTGACGAATTCCAAATAAAAAGAAACGAGTGTCCTGGATTTCACTGTTAGCCACATTCCATAATTCCATATTAACTTGTTTCATAACGACTGTATCAAGGCGATCCTTTCAAAATCACATATGCCAAATGAATCATCTTGAAAATTTTGATTCTTGATATAAAAGTTGAAATTCCTGTCAAAAAATCGAAAGTTTTGAATGAGTGTACTGTTAAGGTGTACTGATAAATCTTAGCGTAGACGAAAATGTAATAATTGGCAAAGTTGTTGCTTATTATTGACAATCAGAGCAACATGTATTTTTTGGTTAATTCTTAGTTTTACATTGAAGTAATAATACAGAAAATATTAATAAACTATTCATTTAACATTTTAGACATCCTCCAGAGAATGTTCCTTATACGTCCACGTTTTCAATTGAATTATATCCAAAAAGAGATATAGCAACTGATATATTCATCAAAGCATATGCGATACCGATAAAGAGATGGCAAGTGAATATTTAAAATGAATATATATGTATACATATGTGCTTGTATATTTGAAATTTATTTTGCGACAGATGTAAAACTTTAACAGTTGAATTGACAAGTCAGTCTAAGCTAAACCACCATTGAAAACCTGGAAGCACTGGACGGCTGTATCATTTTAGTATGGAACTCATCAAAAGTGCTCAGTGAAAAATTGTTTGCTTTTCAACTTTGCCAAGAAATTTTAGTCACTCAGAATGAACTACTCTCTTTCGCTAGAACTAGGTATAAAAAGATGTTATAAACGGAAAATTATATGAACAGATGTAATTGTGTTTATTACTGGTTAATAGACTATAAATATTGTTGGAATACTTAGTAAATGTAGGCTGAATTTAGTCTTTTCACTTTTATCTGTATGAATATGTCATCACGTTTCAGTTTAATTTTTAGAGTATTTTAAGGTTTCTATGTAAAAGCGATGTTATCAAGACAATTCTGAATACGTAATAGTGTAATACTTATCAAAGGTATATTCTCTAAAAACATTTAACGGAAACAATAAAGAATAGAGAGAAAAAAATCATCAGTAGTAAAGCTGAAAACTTTGCAATGATTTTGAAGAAAACCATTTTCTTTAGCGATTCCATCTGAATTTAAAAGACGCCAACATTTGATTGTTGTCCGATTTTATCGATCATAGTATGTTTGAATCATAATCTTTATTTATCCGATGAATCTCTGAAGAGTATTTGTTGTATACATCCATACTGAACTTTGTCTTAAAAACTACTCTGGAATAAAATTTGAAACGTAAACGTATTTTATAATTAGACATGTGTAAGCAAATAAGATCAGTGTCAAACTTAATTGTTTATTGCACAAATTTTCATTTCTCACTAAAGAATAACAGTCAAGTCAACAATAAATTTCGTCAATGAAACAATGGTGCTTAAGTTGAATACGTTATTTATTTCTCACACATAAATGTTACTATTCTTGGTGGAATAAAAATATTTTTATTAAACAATCATGCTACCGTCTGCCACGGAGTCCGTATACATTTAGCAAAGCTATTTGATCCACACTTTAGCTATCAGGAACCATTAAAATGAAAAAAAGGGCATGGAACACATTTGTAAAGAATAAAGCCCTATTTTTGAATCGAACTTTCCATTTTAGTCAACTAATTGTTTGAACGGATCTTCCGTTTAGGCCAACAATTTCAATGATTTACTGAAGGCATCAAAATTGTATGGAATTATATTGTTCATTACGAAAACTATTATTATTATTGTAAAGATTTCTAATCAAAGAGTCTTAATAGATCCAAGTACTTTTATGATCATTGTGGTTACTATAATGGACCTTTTTAGAAATAATTCTGAACAGCTTGCTAAACTGATGAATCAACAATTTTAGAAGTAGAAAATGATGACCTTAACAATTTAATACAATGTAGTGCTAAATGAGAAATATTGTACATTTAGAAGCCATAAGCATTCAAACTTCCATCGCCCTTTTAGTATTAATGTGTTTGGTCATCAACGTAGATATGTTGAACACAGCCATTATATACAAACGAAATGAATTTCTCATGCATATCAATACTATTGTCAAATGTTTTACATATATTCAGGTATCAAAGCTTAAGGTGGGTCTTTATTTATCTTACATTATCCTGTATATATAATGAGTAAATTAGGCCACAGACAACCCGGTGTCATTACACTTGACAGTATTTTATTTCTGATCTCAAATTTGTATCTTAATAGTTCAGACCAAAACTCCTACTACTTATTGGCTAGCACACAACTGTTGCCGCAGTTTTGCCTTTATCGATTACTCAGTCAAAATCCTAAACTAGACTTTCAGGCCGATTCGGATAGTGTGCGATCAGGAGTCTTTTTCGTAGTTCATGAACGACCTCAGAGGGTAAGTTAGCAAACAAAACTGTCTTCTTGTTAATTTTATAATGTAAGTTCTTAAAATGACAGATAAAGTACACTACAGATTTTCAAACTACACAATTGTATATTTATTAAGTACTGTAAACAGATGAATTTCCCTGAGAGATTGTACGACCGTTTATTATATAATTGGATTCAACTTTGAGTTTTACAGAATAAAATGAGATAAGAAAGTTTGAAAATAAATTTCTCGAATGAATAATAATCAAATTTACTCATATTACTTATTCTCATTTTAATCTCGAAATGTTGTTACTATTTTGATGAGTCTACATATACTCATGTATATACAAATAAATAACGAAGGTGATTGATCTTTGCAGTCGAGCTTGATGAAACACGCATCAAAATGGCTTAGAATCCAGTTAACATCATGAAATTGGTTATACAGTCATAAGGAGCTAGCAATCATGTTTCTCGATAGCGAAGCACAATTAAAAGAAACTAAAAAAGCTAATCTTAAATTCTTGAATAGAAACTGCAAGGCATGCAGTAATGAGTTCGTAGAAATTATAATCACTACAATCGAAAACCATTAGATCCTAAATTACAACTTATTTGTTTGACTTTTAATAAATTTCGCCGAAAAAGATTACTGATTATATTGTTAAACATAATCATAATTCAGTTTACTTTTAACTTATCCATTTTTAACGATTGATTCATGGTTGATTTTGAACTGAATAGAAACTCTTGAATAGTCTATGTTACTAGCTTCATTCACTTATGATTTTATTGAAAAGAGTTATGATTTATTTGTACAGTAAAATTTCAACTTTGTGCTTACAATATGTACATATATTTCTTAATAAAAGTTCCATCTCATGCTTTATTTTTATTAGGGATTCATTGATAAAAATATAGTTAATCTTAAAACATTAGATAAACATAACATCGGTGTAGTAGGTTCTGGCGGCCTCCTTGAATATTTGGGCTACCTGTTATTGTCTCCTAGATATTTCAACAAGTTATCTGTTTTTTGTTTGTTTCAACAAATTTTCCTTGTGTTTATTAATCGTATAACTTATTTATGGACTTTTTTATAAACTTTACGACGTTTCGCTGTACAAGTTTTAAAAAAATACAATCAGTGACACCGTGGTGGCTGGTAATATGCATTGAAAAGAACGAACACTATTCAGATGTCTATTCCTGGACTGCTGACATCATTCAATATTTATCGTTAGGATCGTCCAAGAAACATGAAAAAGAAACTTGTTGAAATAATTTGTGCTGAGAATTCTATATTGTACAAAAAATATACTATTGAAATAAGCCATTTATAATAATCAATTATCAATAAGATTTTACGGTCATATATAATGTCATACCTTCATACAAACATTTTCACTTTTATTGATAAGTATTTCTACCTGATAATGTTGGTAGTAAGTTATTGTGACTAAGGGCTTGAATTGTTTCTTATTCACTAACAAATTAATCTATTACAATCAGTAATTGAGATTTTCGCTTTGTCATGTATTCGCTATCCGTGTAACTAGTAAACAAATGATTATTTCCATTGAAAACACATAAATAACATGAACAAATTACAAGATATCTTTTATTTCTATCTTAAAATAGCTTGCTATTTGGTTAAATCAAAATTTTATACTGGAATCAGAAATTACAGTCAATGAACAATCTTCATTGTTTGTTGTTTTTGAAGAATTACGCTCACCTAACAAATGGATTTCAACAATAAATAATAATTTGAATAATTTTGTTGTAGAACAAGAAAATGCCAAACGTTTATTATACATAACTATGACAAATAAAGGTGAAGTAAGTAATAAATACATTAAATTATTTAATTTTCAATGAAATAACTATATTAATATCAGAAGGGGTTTTTGTGGATATTATAGTAATTTTAATAGTTGAGATCATGAGTCAGTGGAAAACCTAGAAGCACTGGAAGGTCGTTTCGTCCTATTGTGAGACTCCTCAGCAGTACGCATTCACGATCCCGCCTCACGAGATTCGGGTTCGAGAAAATTTTATCAAGTAAAATAAACATTGAATTCGAAAACGTTAGTATGTTCAAATTTTTGACAACAATCTGTTTATTAGCTTCATTTTCATACTCAATAAGTAAATGTTTTAATAGAAGAGATCAGTGGGATTAGTTGACAGAATAAGATATTTTATAAATGTCGAATAATTTTAGAATCTAATGACTGTTGTGTAACTTCGATAAACTTAACTTGAAAAGTAAAGTAATTCCAATCGCCTTATTCTCGTCAGTTGATCTAAGGTATTTTATAATACATTCATTTATACACAAAATTGTATTAAGTTTTTAAAGTAATCTACTTGATAAGAGGGACAATAAATTATTTACTTATATAATCATATGCATGATAAATGTTCACTTATCTATTATTATATCTGCTTATTGGTCGTGTTACTTTACTCTTGTGTCTAAAATAATTTGTTCAAAGTGCTTCGTTTTACCTTTTGAATATCATAAATCATTGAGAATTATCGTGATAATGGTTATATAATCGTTATATGTACAAACATTCAGACATCCACTACAAACATCTATTTGAAGGTATTATCTTAATTACTATCCATACTAGTCTAAATTCATAAAGTTGATTTACTTTTTATCGCCAAATTGATATTCACTTGTTTATTGGTGAATTTCGTTCTAAGATAAGAAAATAGCGTATAATATTGTGGCTAAGTGAATTCAGTTATGTCGGGAATGAGGTAGTTAACATTGATAATATCGGATAAACAAAATGAAATATTTGGAATTATCAAAAAAGGGTTTTGTGAAGATTTTAGCTCACTGAAGACATTGGTGAATGGTTGCTCAATTTCGTGGATTGGTTGAAGTTAGTCATTAACATCGTTGGATGCCGGCTCAGTGATCTATCAGTTAAGTGAGACTGGTAGGTCCTGGGTTCGAATCTCGCGAGGTGGGATCATGGACGCGCACTACTGAGGAGTCCCGTAATAGGACGAAACTGCCGTCCAGCGCTTCCAAGTTTTCCATGGGGGTCTAGCTTCAATTGATTCATGATCTCAACTATATTTGGAATTGATTAAAAATGAAAATATATATTATTCAGTTCAAACTAGACAGTATCACATTGTTATACTTACTGACATTACTTAAAATCTTGAATGCACATTACTGAAGAGTCAGTAGGTTTATGGAAAAGCATTTCTTCAAATAAAGTAAAATAGTTAAGATTCAATAACTGTCGATTTTTTTTGTCTTTTCATTTTATTCAAAAGATTACAATCAAAACTGAAAATCTAGAATTAGCTGCAAACTTAGTTCAATCAATCAGTCGACATTTCAATATAACAGAACTTTCAAGCACATGTGATTTTCCAAAACTGTTTAATACATTAGAAGAACTAATTGAAATGGTTAGCAATAAGTTTTCATTTTGAATAAAACTACATTGGTTTATAACACTATAGATATATAATGACCAGTTATTTACAATAGATATTGCAACTGAAAGTTGATACCAATATCATAGAGCCGTATTTCTATTATATATGAATATATTAATGCATTTAGCTAGAAAACGTTATAGTTTACATTTGTAGACGTTATGAGAATTTAATAATTATTAACTTATATCAGTATTATAAGCAAAGATGGATAGTGGCTAGCGGTGGAATCTAGGGCGCGCGTTTCGTACTATTTAAGACTCGTCAGCTGGGTGTACCTGCATCTCATAGTTGATTTTCAGTCTGGGACTCGAATCCAGTACCTTTCGCTTCAAACTTCATTGAGTTATCCACTCAGCTACTGAGTCCTGATAGCCACTGTTAGCCACTATCCATCTTTGCTTATAATGCTTGTGAATTAAGGCAATATGGAGGTAATACGCACAGTATGCACATATGCCAATAAGAGACTGACCAGTTGCAGTCCTAACCATCAATAGAAAGATTCAAACAAACAATACTAAACGAATTATATTAGTATTATAATATTCAGTGTTAATATCACAATGCTACTTAACTAGGTGTATTGTTAAGAATCTAGTATTTCCATCGCAATATTTAAAAACATATGAATTAAAAATTCAAGGAATGAAATAACAATAATAGTAAATAGTACATAAGGTGTATACATACTTTCTGTAGGGCTTATCAAGTGTTCATATATTTCTCACTCATAATTATACTTGTATATTGGTCTATTTCTACTGAGGCTCCAGCTTGTCATACAAAACGAAGTAGCACAAATAATTCATATATACGATTGTTTCTATTCAAGCTACTAAATCACATTACAATAGTCGAGTGATATATATATATATATATATATATATATACAGATCGATATTGGGATGGAATTGTTGCTAAAACAAACTGATAAGATTTAACTTTCCTTAGAAGTTTATTTCAGAAAGTTTTATAACATCTTTGAAGAAAATGAGTGTTATACATCGTTATTGTTTGATTGTTCACTTCAATAGCATACTATTTATATTCATAAATTCATAGAGAGTACAACACTTATTTTATATTAATTTTTTGGGAATCAAATGGGACTCATATCATTGGAGTTAAAGCTACCGTTCTTGAGCAAACCGTAAAAACTGCTTTTGAAATAAATTTGTTTTTCGTATCAAGACTACTGTAGATAAATTACATCGTATTTATTACAACCATTAAATATTAGAATAATCATTATCATTTTCTTTGTCTTTTTTATAAAATTTTTTATTAGTCTAACGCTTATTCTTTAACTCAACAACAAGTTTTGATGGATATGACAACTAAATCGGATAATATTAAAAGATTAGTTGTCAAAGCAGAAGACTATCGATTAGCCGGTAATTGGTATGTCAATCATTCACGATTTATTAATGTTTAAAACAATTAGTTTCTTTGATAAATTTAAGATGGTGTAATAAGAAGACGAAAGTTATCAGAACTATATAGGATTAATAATAATGCATGAGATCGATGTTTTTAAGTAAACAGCGAGAAGTGACTATGGTTTTCAAATTTTTCATTCCGTTCCTTGGAACTAACAACGGAAAGTCGTATCTTATTTTTAATTTTAAAAGTTTGATACCAAAAGTGCACAATACCAAAGTATACTGGGGATGGAGAAGAAATTAAAACTGTCGAGGTTATTTTTTATCAAATTACCAACATGCATGTAGTAAATTGTATCTTGATCTCTAAAAACTTGTGATTTCATAAAATATATCCCTATTAGATATAGAATAGATGGGATATAGGATGAAGTAGAATTCAGCCGATAGATCCAGCTAACGAATTTGAAATAGGAAGAATCGCGCGTCCTGCATCTGACTGCTTGCCACATTCCACCTGTGTTATATAAATTCGTATCATAATAGCTATAGAAAATTGAATTATTTCCTTATAAATTACTGGTTCAAAATAATATGATCAAAGCAAAATCTAATTACAGAATGAATGAAAGATAATGATCCACTAAATAGTTTCACACTGGATTAAAATCAGTTTGTCAGCTTTATACAATTTGTACTATACCGTTGATTGATACAAATTAGTTTTTGATAATACAATCTCATATTTCATTATTAGATGTCGTTAATCGTTCTGTTCCAAGTCATAGCTGTATAATGACCTAAGAAATAGAAGGAATTCGTTAATTATTAGTATTTAGTCATGGATCCCTCGAAAATAGTGCTAGGGTATTTTAAGACCACTGAGCGAGCAATATTAATTTTAGATACAGGGTAACATGCAATGATATTGCAACAAACTCATGTTTGATACAATTTTAAGTGTAATTACTGAAAAATATGTTAAAACAATTTTTTCTCTTCAATGATAAATGTCGCTGAAACCTCAACATTTCACATTCATTCATTCATTCATTCAGATTTTTCGGGTACAACAATTCCAATCCAACTCTTGTTTGTTCAAAAGATATCGAAGATGAAAAATGTACTCAACGCTTTCGTACTTCATCCTAAGTTTGGAAGTATTTGCTATGAGAATATGTTGAAAGCATTATATTAAGAAAACCTATATCAGATGTACAGTTAAACCATCAATTTCTAGTCCATTGAAACATTTGTAATATTATCACACTAGTAAATTAAAACATTATAATTAAAGGTGGAATGGTAAAAATTTCTTCCAAAACATATTTCTATACATTAGTGTATAGCAATAAGAAAACACCAAGGGGATCATAGAATAATCTACTTTACACACATACAGTAAACATTTTCGGTAAAAATAACTTGACATCTATCTATAGAGCTACATAAAGTTATGTAAAGAACATTGTTAATTGTTTTGAGTACATCGCTTTAATATGTTGAAATTAATGACCTAGAGTCTAAAAGATCCGTCTAATAATACAACCGATAGTTTTGTATCTAAATAAATGGAGACTTTTCTATGGATTAAATTGTTTTAGGTTGATTAGTGAGATCTATTACTGATTGTAACATTTTACTTTTACTCTATAATTGGAGAATCTTTATACTTATTGCGAATGTACAAGCGATTGGAACCTGTCTGATGTGTGTTGATGATGTCGTTCAGAAGAACGATGAAAGATCCACGATCTAACCATCCAGCTCAGAGTACAAAACTGTATCAAGATTGAAACGTTTCCTTAAATCCAAGTAAAATCCCAACAAATTAGGTAAAGCAATGACTAGGGCATGACAACAATTCAGCGTTGATAACCCGTATCCCATTGAAGAGATGAAAGATCTTTTTTCTCAACCAAAGAATGATTACATTAATAAACATCATATATACATATCATAATATGCATAGTACAAAACAATCATCCGAATACATTTGAATCATTTCAGCAAAAGTCAATATTAACATTTGAGCACAATTAAAAATGAGTAAGATTGTTGAATAATCGGTAATATAAATGCGTAACTAACAATAGCAGGCCAGCAAAATTACTATTAAGCTGATTTTGATCATCCGTAACAGTTTACCCAGAAATTTATTTAATTGACCATGGCTTTTCTAATTAAATCTTTACACAACATTTATCGTTAATTGTATCATTCCATTACTGGTTCCGTTTGAAGTTATCTTCTTCTTACATTATTAAATGGATGAAATTCATATGATTTTATTATTTCTTCTTGAAGGAAATCCATGAAAAAAACAATCCAACTATTGTCAATCTCCAATCATGATATTATGTCGAATTATCATTCACGAATTACTAATTATGAAGCTTCAATGAATTATTTAAAATATATTAATCAAATCATTGAACATGTTAGTTCATTAAGAGGTAATTCCTTTGTGTTTAATTCAAGCTTTCTATTACAGTAATTGATGTCAAGCAAATATACTAAATATTGAACTATGAAGCTTGAATTTCAAGTTATTTAAACATAACTACTCTCTCAAACAAAACTCTTAAATTTCGATTATCATTAATTTTTAAACTCAGTAGCTAAATAGGATAAGATATAAGATCATAACGTATTTAATCCAAGTAGGAGTAAATTAGTATGTCCTCACGGCACAAAGTTAAATGGAATGCACAGTTATGTCGCTCAAAAAAAATCTGCGCCGTAGGAGGAACTTTTTTTATTCAAATGTTTTGAACGGTAACGAGCTGTAATAAAAATTAAATCCAAATTATAGAAAAAAAGACATGCGTTTGACGACGACAATAATAGTTGATCAGTTATGAACATACATTTGATTCGATATCCATGTGTATGAAAATTCACTAACGATTTTATCGTTCAAGTTGACCGATATATTCCACATCATCTCATTTGTATTGACGATCATAATAGTATGTTATGTTACGGAATAGTTATAGTTAAATAAATTAAGCCAATAAATGAAAACTGTCTGTAATCCCAAAACGTATTTGATCTTGAATGAATTTGAGTTTTTTTATTATCATATATTGTAGTTGGAAAGTTTAAAACAAATGTGATAACCATGTGTCATAATGCATTGAAAGAAAACAATATTGGAGCATTGAAGAAAATTTTTCGAACCGGTTCAAACTAAAATTTTATTCCTACATGTACATGTGTTCTGTGTGAATCGTTCGTTTAAATAATAATAAAGTTCATTGTATTCCACTTTCATCGTTCACAAAATAATGAGGGTGTTCAATTTTCAACGGAATTTCACTGATATTGAACTTTATAAACTAACTAAAGATAATGGTATAGATTAGAGGTAGGATCGCTTTAACTTATTAAATCTATATGTGTTGAAATTTTCAGGTTTTGCTGCAATCAAAAGTTATGTTATTATATATCAGACGGATCTTCACAACATCATCACGCGTTTCATTCAAATTGAGATTGTAAATATCACTTCCCATGATAATGATGCATGAACCTAGCACTCTTCTCCACAAATATCAAATCACTATCGTACGACGACCTTATGCATATCGTCATAAACAAATCAAATTTTCACAAATAATGATAGTCGAAGGTTCACATTCTGTAAATACGATGGACAATGTGTGAATAATTCGTTTAGTATCATTTAAAATCATGGAGATATTGGAACGAATCTGTAAAATTTTACTACTGTATTAGATTAGTATCATTATTATTGTCAATAAAAGTGCTTAACTTCATTTGAGGAATCTCAGACGAATAAATTATTGGGAGTGTGTGGTCTAAATTTTGATTGTGAATTACACTTTCTGTAGATTCAAGTTATTCTCCATATAGCTATACTCAATCATGTAAAATCTAGGATGTAAGACTCACAATAATTGTATGATTGGTTTGTCTGATTATAATAATCTAATTGAATAGGGTATTTAATAGTAGACAGTGTTTATGACTGTCATCTCACCGGATGTTACAAATTACAGGACAATTGAAAAATGAAAAAAGCAGGAGCACAACCTTGAATGCTCCTACTTGGGTACTGAGAAATTGAATGGTGTAAGAAATTAGACTTTATGAAAAGTATTTCAAACAAGAATACATATAATGAGGATGTGCGAACTACTTAGCGTTTCGGAACAAGACAAGTTACAGTCGAATATATGAAACTCTAACCAATGCAAATCACTTATAAAATAGAGTGATAAACTCGAGAAATACATTAACAAACTAAACAGAAAGTTTATTCTCCAATATTTGAAGATAGGACATTATCACTTTGTATACGATTACTAGAGTATAATTAGACGTAGACCATACTCATGGTTAGTGGCAGTTAGTCGACTGTTGATGGTCCTCGCTGAACCTGTTAGAGAAGTCAGTCCGAACAACAGAATCACGTTTACAATACGAAATCAAAACGAAGAGTATATCTATAAAACAGTACTATTCTCAGCGACAACATAGAGAATACATTTTACAAACCTTTCTTGTGAAGTTTGTAAGGCTTTTGTACGCGTCAAATTACGATCAGAGAAGAAATGCTCCTTAAAATTGTTACATAAATGTAATCTACAACGTACATACCATAAGCTAGATAACAATTAGCTACTTTTCTGAATTCAACAACGGTAGACAACAAATCGAAACGAAAATTCTGCACAATAAGTATGGAAAACTTTGTAAATAAACAACCATTCTACCAACGGATAAGAATAAAAATAATTGTTGAGGATGATAAAAGAATATGATTGCTGAAATGAGTTGATCAAATGTCATGAATTTATGAGATACCACACAATAACAGAAACTGTCATATTTCCTAAACTCATTGACAATGACAATTTACTGAGCATTAGTAATTATTGCAATACAAAACACAAGGAAGAGCCATATAAAGAATAAAGGTGAAGAGAATTAGTAGGGTTAACAGCCTCACTCATCCGCTATCAAAATCAATGATAAAGGCTATTATGAGATTTAAGTTGAAGCGTGCGAAAAATCCAACTAACACTATATAAGCGTTTTGAAATTTCTGACATAAGTAAATGAGAATGTTCGGAAAGAAAATGGTGTACTTTTCGCTGTCTTTATGTGCTAAAAATGCCATGAATGAAATAGTGACAAAATGTTTCAAAGTAGGCATGGTACATACGCTCATTCAGAATGAATCATTTTCGACGTCATGGTTTACAAATACGATTTATGACAAACTACAGGTTTGTACACTCAGATTTTAGCAACATTGTTTTCTAATGAGAAATGGTGAAACTCGGTCACTCAAGTTGAAATAAGTGGAGCCTAATTATAATTTACGATCCAATGGTCTGAAGACCAATTATTCATACCAATTGATCAAAGCATCGCCAATTGACAGTCTCTAAAACTGACTTACAAAACAAATGGTACACATTTTATTTATTACCCTAATGATAAAATAAAATCGTCATCTACATACAAAAGTTGAAATCAGAAATGATAGGAATCCAGGAGATTTGTCAATCCTCTACATTTTTTACTCTGCAACAGACTTTCTGTTGGAGATGACGCCCTCACAGTATCTAACTTTGGAGGGATTGTTGTCTTACGAGGAGAACCACTCATTGACTTTGAATATTCAGATGATAGAGTCCTCTGATCGCCTTGAGGAACAAATGTACACATATTTGAGATGCGTTTCTCCCCATCTAAATACAAAGTGTTGTTTTCAAACTGGTCAGTGCCAAAGTCTTAACTAACTATAGTGGCTAAATCAGTCGACCAATACATCTGCTTGGGAGGTCTCGTAAGTTTTGACAGATTGGTGTCTGACGGAATCTTAAGACGGATCCAGACAACTCAACTGTCTCTTGCATACTTGCTTTACCTGTAGCGTAGGAGAGATGTTCGCCCTTTAACCAAAATATGAGTATACTGAGTAGCGGTTCTCTTTCTTCTAATTTATTGCTATGAAGCATGACTTTGAAAATAAGAGACATGGACAACTAGCATTTGGTCACTGGTCGCTTCGAAGCAATGATCGCATATATTCGGACCATCAAACAAACAACGATAAGGTTAGGTAAACCATAGTGAATAGAAATGCCAAGTCGGTTGACGAGTCTTAAAATCTTGATCGACTGAGGGGGTTGAGACACATTCTACGTATGATCAATCAACCTCTACTTCAACGACCAATATTGGATAGTAATGTATATTGAAGAAAATCAAGAGGAGGTCAAACGAAAAAGTGACATCAGTTCATGAAGTCGTCAATAAATGAGATTAGTTACGTAGGCATGTATACCCTATATCCAGTCTTCAGTTCAAGAAACAAGAGAACACAGCATGTTAGGTTCTATTACTGTATTCCAGGCACCCAGCGGTATTTACTTCGCATACTCGTTAGTTCATATACTTGGGTTTTCGGATCGAATTATACATCAAATCACAGGTCGTCCTCTACACATGCTGAAGTTATCAACAAAAGAGAATGGAGCAGATAATACACGGTCAATTAACAATGATTACGAATTTTCAAACGTAAAACAATCGGTAACAGATCCAATGGAAATCACTGTACCGAGAATATAGAAATACAATAATCTGATTATGTGATAGTTATACAATAAAAATGCAAGTAGTCCGCGAAATAGCTTCGAAATCCCAATTTGTTTAATACGCGTTCTGTTATAGCAGTAGTCGTTATTTCGTTGTGGATCCTTTGATTTATCCATCTCATCATTTACACTATCCTCAAAACAATAATCTGACTCTATGACTGAGACACTTGACCAGGTTTATCTTGTACTGAAGAGGTGTAAATCTATGGAAGTGGGTGTGTTGGCTGCCTCAGACATTGCGAATAAACCACATTTCACAGTACATTCCATCTCTCTGGAAAGAAGAACATCAAGAAAAGCTATACTGTAGCCAGTTTCCTCTTCGTTGTTGAAATTAGTGTCTGGATGAACGCACTCGAAACTATTCGAAAGTCTTTACTTATCGATGCGATAGTCGTACACGATTTGCGTGTCATTTGCATATCAACAGAGGTATTCAAACTTATTCAGAGCATCTCGCACTGGTCCATTTTCTAGTTTGCATAGAACATTACCAGTGGTTATTGAATCTAGAGAAGGTCTCATCGATTCTCCATTTATTTACCTCCAAATTCGTTATTTAATATGAGTTGGTTATCCTTGATGCGTATCAGCAAAAACTCACTTATGTTCATCGCCAGTATAAGTATTCTTGATTCATTTCTTAAAAGTTGTTTGCATGTGTAATCGATGGTTTCTGTCAGTGAAATATCCCTGAAACCATATGTAATGTCTGAAGAAAACATAATTTTATCAGTAATATTTTCACATTTTTACTACATCTACTAATTAAAGACATATTTAACGATATATTTCATGAAGTTTCGGTGTGATTTTTCCTGTAATTTCACCGACGTTTACACTATTGAAAGTTACAGTGAGCTTGACATATTTAGAATCAGAAGTGCAGTAACGCTGAGTTGTGAACGCATTGCGCGAATAATAAACTCATGTAACCACATTGTACCTTGCCTCAATTTCATCAGTAACCGATTCACTAGCGATAAGAATACATCCAAGATAACTGAAGAAATAAACACTCCAATCTACCTTTATCAATATAGAGAAACTATATACTGACACAGAACACTCTTTCAAGCGAAATTTCCAACTGGAATTAGAGAAACTTGTTCATGCCATTCTTGTATTGCTAATAATAGTTTTCAGAAAACTGAATTTTATCAATCTATTCCTTGAATAAAATCAAGATAATCAAATACTCAAAGCCTATAAAGAAAATACGATAATTCACTAACTGGAAGCACCGGAAGAGTTCAATCTCACTAAAAGAAACCAAACAACAATGAAAGTGGATTCGATGATAGCATTGAATCTATGAAGATCTATTCCTATTTGATACACCACAGGTAAAATCCAAACAAATGAGAAAAAACTAATATAAACCAGTTTCAATAACACTATTCAAGGATGCTAAAATATTTCGAAAACTGATGACACGAAATTTAAAAATGATATACATATTGAATGGTATGAATAACTATATTAGTGTTTCATAAAACTCTGAAAGTAAAGCGGAAGCAATATATTCTACCATTCGAAATGTTAACATCAGTAACGTTTATACACGTAAATGCAGCGAGTCCGACTACAGTAGTATAAATTACAAAAAAAAACGTATTAAAGTGGTAGTAAAGAAAGCGAATTACAAAATAGTACACAACACAAAATGTAAGGACATTAGAAAGAATGATAAGAATAAAGAGGTTATATTCACTAACAAATCACAACCATATACGGTAAACATTGGAAGGAAAACATCAAACACCTATAAGATAACAATTACAAAATTGAACTTATTAAACAAATGTCTAATGGAGTTCCGTCGAGGTTGCAGATGAATCCACTGTATTTGGGGAGGAAAGAACTTCATTAGCACGTAATCTCTGTGTAATACTCTCTTCTAATTCAACTATATATACGTTTGAAGAGATTCAATTTGGCTCAAGACATATCTTCTCACCGAACTAACATTACGCTTAATCCTACATCGACGAAAGGATTTACAACACAGCTTAAGAAAACCCTGTATAACAATGTAATCACGAACAAAATCCAACAGTTTTCGCTTTCCTGAGTTTCGCATGATACTTCAGGCAATCGGTGAGACCAATCAGATTGTCCCAAGAAATGATACAAACCATCAAATTATTGATTTCAGTTTCCATCTCAAATGTTGTCCAGCTCTGTTTTATCAATACACTAAAAACTCACGAATTAGTTATACTTGACATTTATTTGATCGATGAGATTCTTGCAATATGACAAGAACATCTACACTCAGATTGATCACTGTACGATTGTAACCGAAATGAAAAGTACATTAAAATCTATGAAGCTTCACTTATTTATTTTCAGGATAACATTTGTTTGCGAACTAATTTTAGGTCACCATAATAACGTCAAACTGAAAAATTCAACATATAAATTGTTTATTCAAACAAAATCACTTCCAACTATTTTATTTGATGCAAAGATTTTTCACGAATCATATGAAACTCATATTATATTTTGCATAAAATAAAAATGAAACATGATAATTAATTCATGGATTGTATGGTTGATACATATGAACAAACTGTCAGTTCATCCAAAACAATTTGTAGATATCTAACCGACCTCAATTGATATTATGCAATTAATTAATCAAACCGGAAGTAAATTTTCCATTATATAAACGAAGCTGTGCACGAACAGAATATGGAGTAACTCGTAAACTCAACAACAGTTATTATCAACCATGTCTTCTCACGGATGTAAGTGAATTATACTTTATTTTTAAATTATGCTTTAACTCAAACTATTGTAATGATTATGCTGAGGTAATTGACTAGTAATAAAGTTTGTTAGTATACTGAGTCCAATTGTCCAACAGTGTAATGTAAAACCACGGCATTAGTAAATATAGAATTGATTTCCAGTAGTCGTAACACATGGTTCGTTTAGAATGATGAACTGGTAGTGGTTTAGCATGTTAGTAGTCGAAATAGCTCAATCGAGTATCAACGACACATCATGCCATTGAATTGGGTTGAAGTAGTATTATGCATTTGGATGATTTGATTGTAACTATTTAATTCTCAAATTCTACCAGCACATGCGAAACCATCAGTTTGCTGTTGTTTATATCCACTAACTAAGTACTATTGCAAAGTCTTGATCATGCTAAATACACTCATTCTATCCAACAACTTCGTCTAACATATGGGTTTGCAGTAAACTATGTCTGTTTCCTTCACAAATTCATT